CCCGGCCTGGCCCCCCCGCCCCCCAGCCACGTCAGACCCAACCTTAGCCCTGCTGCCAGGCTGGCCTTGTCCCTGCCTGCCAGCGCTGGAGCACACTGCCTCCCACCACCTTCAGTCAGACTGCCAGGTCTCCCAAAATCAGGTCATTTGATTTAATGCCTAAAAGGCACCTCCTTTTCAGACACCTGTTTTTGAGATGTTTGGTGCTGCTGGCCATAACGAGCCTAGGTATTACGGTGAAACGACTACAGGAAAATCCTGCCGTGTCTTTAACGGAGTAACTCCAGAGCACATGTAGATTCTTCACATTCTTAATGCTTTTACCATATGAAAAATAATGTGCTCTGTGCAATTGATTCCAGTATTTCATTCGTTTTTCATCATCTCCTATCTCTGGAACATCCCTCTCCCTCTTAACAACATATTTTCCTAGATTTCATGGCAAAGGACAAGATCAGCTTTGTGTTACCATAATCTCTTTTGAAGCAGAAGATTGTTTCCAGATTATCGAATGTGGGATGGAAAAAACATCATATTTATGAATTAGTAAAACAGATAGACTTCCAATTGAGTTTAGTTCCAGGAAGGTTTTGTGATGATTATCGGGGAGGGAGATGGGAGGAGGGGGGAAGTTTTCATTATTAAGTGTCAAAAATGCTGCATTAAAGTTTGTTAGAATATATTTATCCCAGGCTTTTAGTACTTGTTTTTGTTCCAAAGCTTACTGTAGCTTGAACCAGTTTCTTATTTTAAAACTTATAACAGTGGAAATTCTGTAATGTATTTCTTGCTTTGAAATGAATTAGGTCAGATTCACTAGTCTTCTCACCACCATTCAAAATACCTTTCAACAAGAAGACAGAAAAGTAAGATGCTCCCGCTGTATTAAATCGCAGTAAGAACACATCTGCTGGCTGGGAACTGAGTGAAGACTCATTTCTTCCCTCCTTGTGTCTCTTAACGTCTCATTACTTGTTTTGCTGCCCTGTTCTCACAATGTCTGGGTGTCTTGGAGTCTCTCCTGGCTATGGTATCTCTGAGCAAAGCTCTATTTCATTCTCTGAATGTGAATGAAATAATTAGCCTTGATAATCTGGCTGACTGCAAGTTGGGCTGGTTTTTTGCTTTGTATCATGTCATTTTGCTTTTGCCTGGTATTAATGCCTACATCTGAGTTTATTTGGCCCTTACTGGTTGGCATTCAACTGGAGCTGGGGTGGCCAGAGTTCAGCTGCTCCCATGTGCCCAGGATGCTGCAGTGGTGATGGATGACCCTGTAGCAGGCTGAGTCTGGGGCTGCATGTATCTGTCCCATCTTCTGTCATCAGTTATCGCTGCTGGTCTTGGTCACTTGCTTTTTGAGAAGTTTTGTTCTGAGTCATCTTCCAAAATCACAGCCCACTGTTAGGAGCTGCTTTTGTGTGTCTCCTCAGTCACTTAACTGCTGGCATCTAGGGACGCATTTTCAGAAGGTCCTGTCTGATCTCCCATGTTGATGTGTGGCTGTGGTGTGATGTATCATTGACATACTGGCATGTGGAAGTAGGCACCTGTGTGAGCAAAAGGCTGTTTGTAGCCCACTGAGGAAGTCACCTGGTACTTGACAAATATATGCATTTATGTAAACAGATAAACACACAAATGTTAGCCTTCCTATCCAAAATAGTCATTGTTGTTTGGTGGCCTTTAGTACCTATGGAAAACACTGACCATACCTGTTACAGTTCTTTCTTCCTTCTTCTTTTTAGGAATATTTCAGGATATGTGCATGAAAGCAATCTGGTTTATGATAATGTTACTGTCCAGTGTGCATTTGGTGTCCTGTGCCTGTCTGTCATGTTGCTGTCCTTTCCAAAGCAGACAGTTGTGATGTCAGGTGCAAAGGATTTGGCCTCAGAAGTAGTCAGCTTGGGCAGATTAAATGCTTTGCAGACAAAAATCCTGGGTTTGTGGCAAGTAAAGATAGTAACAAGAAGTGTAAAGTCTTTAATCCTGAAACCTTATATGCAGGCAAAACTATTTTCCTGGTGTATGCAGAAGAGAAAATGTATGCAATGCAGAAAAAGATTATTTTCACTAGTTCCAAGAGGCATTAACTGATTGTTTTAGATGCCTGTCTCATGAGATCGTTAGAAGTTTATTACTTGAGTGGTTGTTTGGTTTGTTCTTTTTTAACCAAGCAGATGTCTTTTTTATTGTCTGTTACCATGCAAAAGCTGTCCAAACCAAGATGCGGTAAGTTGCTGCAACAAGGTATATGCAAACTGGTACCCGTGGGCCTTTGCACAAGCTCTGTAGTGTCTTTCCAGTCCTGTGGTAATCATTCACCTAGAAAAACAAGTCTGAAAGCAAATATACCTGGCTTTAACAAACGGTTCTCTTGTCTTACAGAGAGAGGATACAAGCCATGGAGAAACAGATTGCCAGTTTAACTGGTCTTGTTCAGTCTGCGCTTTTTAAAGGGCCAAATACAAGTAATAGCAAAGATGCTTCTAGGTAAAAAAAGAATTCATTAAATCTGTTTCTCTGTAATGATTTTAGCAATCAATCAACAAAATAGTATTTGAATGTAATAGTAAAAAAATCCTTAATGCTCAATCATTCTTAAATATCTTTACCATCCCCATGAGAATGCTAGGCAGAGAGGAAGAATATGCCAAACGATAGATGGAGATTAACTGCATTACTCTTCTTTGTGTTAAAACGAATCAATGTAGCTACATCTCTGTGCTTTCTACTTCTTACACTCCATTCCTTGCTTAACTTGTATTAAAAGCTGATTGTAAAAAGAAAAAAAAGCAACTGACAAGCTACTGGTGATTTAAATTATAAATATATATGCTAGACAAGGCCATTTAGTTTGCCGATTATAGACTTCATTACAGTTTTATTGTTAGTATGTTAAAATAATGATTTTTCTTTTTATTACTTAGTGAGAAGATGATGAAAATTGTGTCCAGCAAGAGCAGCACTGACACTGCAGGTAAGATAATTTACTTCTAATTTACAAATTCTTCCTCTCTAACATTACTAGCATCCCTTATAGAAATGTCAATTTTACCTAAATTTCCATTGCTGTAGTGTCAGAACTGAAGCTGAAGTTCAAGACATGGGAGTTGATCACGTATTTGTCAAGAGGGGAATTTCTGACAGGTTGAGGTGGTCTGTGGAATGAATTTCACACCTGCACTGGATGGTTTAAATGAGATACACAGTCTCTGCATATGGTGAATTTTCCAGTGACTCATCCCATCTGTAGTAGGTATCTGTCATTAATCCCAGATGTATCCAGTTTGCTGTAGAAGGCTAAATATTTCATTCCTATTCTGGTCATCTGAACTGTTCTCTAAGGTTCTTTTGTCAGTAGGGTGGTATGGATGTAATGACATTAGGGAATTTAACAGTCAGCAAGATAGCACTTTCTCTAATTAAGCCGCATTGATCTGTTACTAATTATTAGCCTGTGCCTAAACTGTTCTGAGCAAGCATCAGTTATGAAGCCAATAAGAGCTGGTCTTCTTTTAGATTCCCACTTGGAGAGCTGTTAAGTGTTTAAAAGATGGAGTTCAGGCTGTTGTGAAAAAAGATCTCCATGTGATTGGAGCTGTTTGTGTATGGGCTGCTGCTGGAGATGTCTTCAGGGTGTGTTTGTGTTTGTATGCCTTCTTTTCACTCTTTGCCATTCACTGAATGCAAATAAAGGCAGTTCCTTACTTCCTGGTAATGCTGTTCCCACAGGGAGGTCTGTGCGCTGGCAGGTAGTAAACCACACGTAGTAGCAAACATGTTATACTCTTAACTAGCTTTTCTGTTAGAGCTGTTAGTTCACGTTCAGGATTCCTGTTTGTCTGGAATTGCAGTATGTCCTCCTAACCAACAGAAATCAAACCAGACCTGGAAACTATAAAGCATATGCGAGAGAGAAAGTGCTGAAGTCCTGGTACTGGAGCTTTTCTCCCAAGCCACTCTCTGGTCCTGTTCCAACTCTTCTCTTCCTGCCAGCCCCTGCATGGAGAGAGCAATACTTAAAGCTGTGAAGAAAGAAGTTGTAATTTGTCAGTTTCTGACAACTTACTGAGAAGTCCATCATTTTTCAAAACAGCTGCAAAATGCTCTTAGACTTCCCCTATTTCAGTGTCATTATACACTAAGAATTTATGGTATTTCCTACTCGCACAGGTCTCGTCTCATATCAAGCACCTATGAAACCATCAAAACCTGCACACACAATGCCTTGTGTTCTTCTTTGTATTGTATTGTTGTTTGGCCTTTCCATTTGCATTGTGTTTGTACTAATTCAGATAAATACTTTGTGGGGGACACTGAGCTGGACATTCTGATCTAAGAGTGCCCTGCTATGAGTTTGGACCAGATGACTTCCAGAGGTCTCTTTTAACCTAAATTATCTAGTGATTTGTGTGTGTGTGTGAATGTGCTCTAAATCAAATGAGAAATGGAATAATAGTAATTGGGAAACAGGCCTACACAAAGCAAAGGTGTGGATTGCACAGTGTGGAAGTCATGCCCAGCCCATCAGAATAGAATGGTTCATCTGACCAGCAACCATTGCATGCCACTGTTGTTAAAGATTCCTCTCTCACTATACTTACCGTATGACTGAACACAAGTCCCTGAAATGGCAAAATTACATCTAACAAACAGCTGCATGTTCAAGCATGGGGAGTGGAGAGTGGTGCGTGTAATTTACTGTCAAAAGACCAGATCAGCATCTGTCATGTACTGACAGAGACATTGACATTGTCACATGGCCATGCCCATATCCAGCATGTGAGTAAGGATACCAGCATTCAGGGTAGCCAACAGATGCCTTTCTGATCACTTGGCTGATGGGGATAGGGCAGAGGGGACAAGCGATGCAGCCATTCATCTGCAAGGATCCCTATCAGTGCTATAAAGTATAGTTGAAATCCTGCATCTTCAACCCTAAATCCAGTTTTTCCAGCACAGCTCAGCCACCAGATTAAATTGCCTTTAAATTAAATTAAAGGGAAACAAGGTGTGATACTGACCCTAATATACTACAGCATTGTAACCCACAGCAGCTATTACCAAAGAGTGCTGTCTAATAGAATAGTCCTGTATAATAGAATATTTTGCTTTTGTACTTGCTTTTGAAATTGCACGTGACAGGGTCTAGTAAGTCGATGCAGTCCCTGATTACTTGGAAATTAGGCAATCTGCCAGAATATGCTACAGAATGTTTCTCCTTTTTGTAAATATGCTTGGGTTTAAACATGCCAGCAGCATCCAAAAATACTTCTGTCAACCGCTGTTTTGTTCTTCAATTCACCCCAATCCTTAATAAGTATAGCCATTTAGACTGTTGACTCTCTCAGTATACAGTTGCACTTGACAACTGTGCACTGAGATAACAGTTTTAGCAATTTCAAAGTCTATTTGAAAGAAAAAGTAGTACAAAGTGTTGATTGAGCAGTCCTTTCTAGAATACTGGTAAGCAGAAACGTGAACAGCTTCCCATCCAGAACAATAAAACATCTGTGGAGGATAAAATTGGCTCATCAGTGTTGAACCAACATTGTATTTTATAGTATGTGTTCCAATGATAGGAGACTTTCATGCAAAAAATAGAGAACTAGCTCACTTGGGAAGGGAAAGAAACCAACATTTCTACATCCTAGGTAACTTTATATAGCTAGATTGCAAATACTTTGGTTTTCATATAAACCAAATTGTTGTATTTAGCATGTTTTGCTTTGCTAGTCTGTAGTGGATTCTTTAGCCTCAAATATTAAAAAGCCTAAATAAAAGTGCTTTTCCACTGTGGAAAAAGAGCCTCTAACAATCGTGCTTATCTACATTTCTTATGTTTTATTGCTTTATGCTCAGTTCTTTCATAGGGGGTGGGTTCAAAGAGCAGTAACCTTTCAAAGACTGGCTGTGTCTCTTCTACTAATGTTAGGATAAATCCCATGACTGAATCCTTATAACCTTCTTCAGTTCATCAAAAGTGAATGGCTTTTCAAACAAGGGACTCTTCACATAGGAATGGCATGTGACTCTAAACCCAAATTGTACTAGGAAAAGTCTCCTTGAGATTACTAACAAATGTGCTGAGAAATGCTCACTATCTTTTCTGTCATATTTTTCTTCATCAAGTGGTGAGATCGATAGATTAAATCCTGGGTTCATTGATTAAAATAAGATCTGGTGTATAATGGATTACCAGAAAAAAAACCAAAACAATAGTTCTTTGCTAGCTGATGCCTTGTTGGAAGAGGAAGAAGGGCATTTCAGTATTTCCGGAAAAGACATCAAGGAGTACATCTTTCTGCACTAACACCATGAGTACAAACCCAGAGAGGGAGATGGCAGCAGGGAGAAGTATTACACATGTAGGGCTCAGATTTGATTCCTTGGTTGTTATGAACTGTCTTGTCATGTCTATATCTGTGTGTTTTTTTCACATGCATGACTCTCGCTGTGATGATCTGTGAATTAAAAACATCATCCATATCTGCATGTCTCAGATTCAAAGACAGATCATACCAGTCTTTGAACTCTGCCAGTGTTTGCAGGTAAAACATGATCCTGATTCCATTCTGGATCAATGAGCTGAAGCTGAACAGTAATATATATATATAGACTATTTTATTCTTTTGATAGTACTTTAGTGCCTGGCCATAACAGATTTTTAATGATGGAATTGCAACATTAACATTGCATTTGCCTATTTGTTTAGTGAATTCTAACTGGATGGAAAGAGAACTAAATAACTGTCAGGTGTTTTCCCCAAATGATGCTTGAAAATGTTGTGGTTCTTTATAGATATGAGTAATTTGTGAAGAAACATTGCTGGGTATCTTCTGGTGGCCTTTTTTCTAGCCTGCTCAAAATAAAGTCTTAACATTTTAGAAAGAAAAATAAGATGTGGAAAATAGAAGGAGAGCAGTCTTCGCAACCGTAGCAAAGGTCAAGTGTCAGGGAGTAGAAGTTGTGTTCCATACCTTCCTGAGCCTGGGCAAATAGCAAACCATTCCACTTTTTGCACGTCAGTTCTATTTGTGCTTTAGAAATGTCAGTTTAGTTCATTAGCTAAAAGAAAAAGAAGTTAACATTTGGGTTTTGTCCAGAGTATTAGGGAATTATGAGAGTTTCTGCATTCAAGCCCCCATACCTAGCTCCAGCAAGGGTTTATTTAAAAACCTGAGAGCCAATGCTGTTTCTTTCCCTTCAGTCCATCTGGCCGCACATCTAATCGCAAAGCTACAGTCTGGGACTATTTCCAAAAGCGAGCAATACTCCCTAGATGAAACAACCCTTCATTCAGCTGCCCTTTTATTCCTTTTTGATGAAAATATGTGTCTGAGAAATTAGCTTCTGATCCTTACTGTGTCCCCATGCTCACTCAGTGTCTGTGGTTGTGTTTCACACCCTTGAGAGTCCCATGTCATGCTCCACAGGCTCTGAGCACACTCTGCAGCAGGGACTCTGTGGCACTGGAGAGTACCTAATGGTGAGAAGAGGTGGCCTTGCAGCAGAAGAGCAGGAAAGCTTCTTTGTAGGGAGTCAGAGACATTTATTGCTTACAGAAGCAGATCACAGTCCATCTACACTAAGAGTAAAGCAGGCACCCCTTACTGAGAAAATATGTGAATTGACTGGGGTCCAGCATGGGGGAAGAGGCTGGCGGGACTGATTCATGTCTTGGCTACATTATCACAGGGTCGGGGGCTGAGTTTTTGGAGCTTTTGCTTGAGGCAAAAAATAGCAGAAAGGTAGATGTGCTTTCAAAAATAGTCTAGATTTGTGGCTGGAGATCAGAACTCTTGGAGGCTTATCCACATTTTTCAGACTCTCTGGGGGTTTCCGTCTGTAGGGTTTATGAACTAAATATCCTTTTCTTAAAAAAAAAAGCAAAAAATAGTGCATGTGGGAGGGAAATAGATGCTTGACTGTAGGAAAAACTGCAGTGTACATGTAGACAGACAAGTATTAGCATATGTTAGACTGAAGCATGGAGTGGGTACAGAATGGCAGTGAACAAGGACTTTTTATTTCTTGAGTCTTGCTTTCTGTTAAGCAGCTCTTTGAAAGTCAAGAGAGCATTGAATGACACTGGAGTATAGCAAAAATGTGCAGCAGCTTGCTCAGCAGTGAAATGAAGAGTGCAGTTGTTGAAGCACCAAGCAGATCTAGCTGGAGCACGCTTGAGTAAGGTATAGCATTACAACAGCCATCACCAGCCTTAGAACAGCTTTTTGTATGAGCATGTCCCTGGAAGCCTGGGGCATGGCATCCCATATATAGCATGAGTGCAGCCAGAGGGGTGTGTGCTTTTACTGACAGGAATTGCAAATGTAGGTAAAGCAAGACACATGATTCTTCAGAAACCTTTTGGCCCACTTTTAAATAAAAATAGTTGGGTGTAATTTCCATCTTTTGAAAATGCTTCCCCCAGATGAGTTTTGCAAAGGCTATGTTTGAGATATCCACACCTATTGGCAAAGGAATAACAATGTGCTTTTATGCTGAGCTGTACTCATGGGCACATTTGGAGATTTTACTGGTTGAAAAGACTATTAGCCATGAGAGGGCAGGGATAAAACTTACCACTCATGGGTTCATACTCATTCCAGCCAGAAAAATGTATCGTGCCCTTTGGAGCACTGAAAATTTGCCTTCAGCAGGCAAAGGCAAGCGTGCAACACTAGTTTCTGTTTGATTTCATTGAACTTGATAGAATGAGTGCTTGTGGGAACAAATGATAACCAAAATCCCTGTGATCCACTGATGAGTTATATTCTGTTTCCTCAGATTTTTTTGTTTTATTTGTAGAGAAGGAAGGAAATGAAGTGGTGAATGACATAATCATAGAACAGAATCATACAATTATGTAGGTTTGAAAAGACCTTTAAGATCGTCAAGTCCAACCATAAACCTAACACTGCCAAGTCCACCAATAAACCATGGCCCTAAGCACCACATCTACATATCTTTTAAATACCTCCAGGGATGGTGACTCCACCAGTTCCCTGAGCACCCTGTTCCAATGCTGGACAACCCTTTTGGGGAATAATTTTTTCCTAGTATCCAGTTTAAACCTTCCCTGGCACAACTTGAGGCCATTTCCGCTTGTCCTATCACTTGATTCTTGGGAGAAGAGACTGACACCCACCTCACTCCAACCTCCTTTCAGGTAGTTGTAGTGAGCAATAAGGTTTCCCCTGAGCCTCCTTTCCTCCAGGCTACAAAACCCCAGTTCCCTCAGCTGCTCCTCGTAAGACTTGTGCTCCAGACCCTTCACTGGCTTCGTTGCTTTTGTTTGGACACTCTCCAGCACCTCAAGGTCTTTCTTGCAATGAGGAGCTGATAATGCAGTAGTTCGTGGAGCAGCAGCCATCTGAGCCCAAGAGGCAAGATGGATCTGGCACTGTGATCAACATAGTCCTGGACTTAGAAAATGGAGTGTGTCCTACTGACAGTCTGTCATTTTCTCTGTTGGTGGTGGGGAGGGGAAGGGACACATATAGGTATGTAAGTGCAAATTGCTAGAAGAAGCCGTAACATGACTGTCAGCTGATGAGCTGGAATTTGCTTGTACTCTGTAAATAAAGCTTCTTCCCAGTTATTTGAGACTGAAAAGAACAAGCTTGATGTTGGTGCTGTGTAGAGGAACAGAATTATTCAATGAAGAAAGTCTTGTGAGCATATTGATGGTTATTCTCAGAGTACAGGCGAGCTCACTTCTTTGTGTTAAGCTGCATTCCTTTGAAACACAGTCCTGAATAAATGACAGACTAAAGGGAATAGGTAGAGGCAACATGGCTGGAGAGCAGTTCTCTGCCACACCATTGTTCCATTTCTCTTCTGCTTTTATACAGTAGCAGTTGGAGACACTTGATAGAAGTAACGCATTTGTTCTTCAAGCAGGAAAGCAAGGTTCTCTATAGAAAACTTTTCCCCACACTTGGCAGTTTGACTGAATCTCTCTCCAGTGATAATTAATCAATGAATACACAGTTCAGGACTCCTGGGAATGTGCATCAACTCAGTCTCAGATGCCTCCTGGGAGGACAACCTCGAAGCTACTTTCAGCACCAGTTTGATTTGCTGCTGTTTTCTGTAATCCGCAGTTATAGCTTATTACTCCATCTCCACTACATGTGGTAGGAAGCAGTCCTGTGGTAATGCAGTCCTCAGGTATGGCTGAGGCTCCAGCGCAGAAACACTCTGATATTGTACAGTCTTCCCTCAAAATACAATGGATAAGAAGGTGCCAGTCCTCTGTTAATACTGATCATTGGCAGCCATAATTTACTTTTCTCGCCTGTCCGTGTGAAATACATGTAAATTCAATAGGCAGAGGAAGGATCATGTTTGCACCTTCTCTGCTGGTGAGCTCAGCCTGTGCTGCGGCTTATTGTAGGTGCTGCTAACATATCTGGTGGGAAGAACGCATTGGCAACTGTGGAATCTGCTGTCATCCATCACCCTGCTGGAACCCCATCAATGCAAGTCAGCCTGCATGGGATGAAACGCAATGTGTCGGATCTGCGGCTGCAGCTACATCAGATGAAGCAACTACAGGTATGCTTATCTGGCTAATAGACAGCAAATGCCCTCTTCCTCCCTCCCTCTCTCTCCCTCTCCCCTGCTCCCCCTTTTGTACGAGTGATTCTCAGAAGCAGAGTTCTAAGCAAAGAGAATACCCAACTGTTATAGATACAAAAGGGTATTGTGCTCTAGCATACACCACTTACATGGTCCTCAAGGCATGAGAATTAACTCAGTTTAACTACTGCTGCTCAGATATTGATAAAAAACCTTACTTCCTAGCTTTGCTTGTTGACTCTAGACATTAAACAAGTATCTATATTACAATAATATCAAGTCTGTGATTACAGTTTGGACGTTGCTATGCTATGTGCTGTATAAACATGTTAGAAGAGCCATGTTTCTGCTCCATACTGTTTACTATTGAGACAGTTTTAAAGTTCCTGAATAAACATCTTTGATGTTAGGAAACCCAAATGTAGCTGAGGATCAGTAGATATGCATTAAGCCAGAGCTCGAGTCCTGTATTTACAGAATCCAGAAGAATAACCAACTTGAGCAGCAAGGAAAAAAGATATTTCAAAAGTTGCTGCAAAGGTTCGTTTTGCCTTTCTTATATTCACATTTTACCAGTACCTTCCTAACACACATCAACATCTCAAAACCTACAAGAAACAATAAGAACAATGATGAGTTAACAAAAACATTCTGCTGACACATACCATCATGCTGCAAATGTAAATATATGCTGTTCATGTTAGACACTGTGAAAGTAAGCATATGCAGCTGCACAGGTCTTCAGCCCTTCACTTAATTGGAAACTGAATTGCTCAGAAGATGCGAAAGGAGGTAAAGCAATTTCTTGTAAGACAAAGTGGACAGCATGGGAAACTTTAATACTCTGCCAGTCCTTCTTGCCTGGAAAGTGACATCACATGTTTGGTATTGTAGGGCTGCAGCTACTGCTATTATGACCAGGTGGTTTTGAAGATGGGAATGGTACTGTGTCAATCTCCTTTGATTTGCTGATTAATTTTTGAACAGAATAATGATAATACACATCAGAATTCAGAGCACATTTTGCCATCGCTTCTTTAACTAGAGGAAATTGAATTATGAACCAGTTATAGGGCAAGGGAGCAGAAGGGTGAGGTGAACACCAGGATAAATAAAGTGTGGCTGAGACTGAAGATGCTGTGACAAGGTTCTGTACTCAGTTTTCTGGTAATGAAGAGGTGGCTAAAGGCATTTAGAGCAAACAGTTGAGTCAGCGAGGTGACCTCTGCCTGTGATACAGCACCTATGTGTTTACATTTTCAGCTTATAATGAGTATGTTCCTATAGCAAATGCATCTTTCAAAAGCTGTTCTCAGCAGTGCTGCCTACGTGCTGGCCATCATGATTCCCATCAAATGTCAAGACTCTGGTTTGGGATCTCTGCCCTGGCATGTTATGTATAAGTGCGTATTCTTACACATTGGTGCTGCAAACCACCGCAGCCCCTCTGTCCTTTTGTAACCCCATGTGCCAAATGCAGAGTCATCTCAGACACCTGGCCACCAGCTGTGCTTAGCATATGGCTTCCTAAAGTGGGATGGAGGTCGCAGTGGTGGGCTGGAGGCAATGCACATCATTCTCATGTGGCCCGCTCACCAAAGAGGTGGCATTTCCCCAGCTGCAACTTGTCTCCAGGCCCTGCCTGGGGTGGCAACCTTGCTTTTGATCACATATAACATTATGGTACTTAGGAGTGAAAAAACTTGTACTATCTGCATAAATCAATGCTGTCAAGGAAGTCTTGAGAAGGAAAAAAGGACGTATCCCAAGTGTGTTCATTAACTCTGGCTGGCTTCCCTTATTGCAGAAATGATAGTAAATTCGGTGCATCATGCCAGTAGGAAGTGGGCAGATTTGTGATAGTCGGATGGAAGAACCTGTGGCTCAAGGAAAGCTTTGGTATATTACATCTAAATTATGTTCCTGAGAGTGAGGTTTTGTCATGGTTTTTCCAAAAGGGTGGAATTATTTTGAAAAGAGCTCATAATTTGTAGTGCAGTAATTGAAGCAGCTGGTATTTTAAACTGAAGAGTGATGAAATATCACACTTCTAATGAAAAGATTTTGTGCTGTGTTTTTTGGAAAATAATTCGAAGTAAAAGGAAAAAGTATTTTTCTGTTTTTCTGGGTTGTTTGCATACTATGTGTGACTACTTCGTATTTTTAGCTTTCACTGTTTCTCCCGGATTGGCAGTCAGTTTGCTCCTGTTTGTGTGAATTTTTCATACATTGACAGACTAAAAGAAACACTTCTGAAGAACTTAAAGAGATGATTGCACAGGCAAAAAGTTGGCAAGATGACTAAGAAACAAGAACAGGACATAAAACTATATTTAATACTCTCTGTGGTTCAATTTTCACTTGATGTTACCACTTGAAGTTCTTACTCATTTGCTTAATAGAATCAGGGAAACACATGGTGTAAAACACCCGTTCATTCATGTAGCCTTTGTCGGTTCTGGCAAAGCCCTCTTTTGAACCATATCCAGCAGCAATTGATCCAGCTGTATTGATTCACATACCAGTTAAATGTGTATGTTACCAGATGCAACCAAAAAGTTAAGACTGTTTTATTCTGTGGTTGGATTTTCACCAGAGATTCTTAAAATAAAGACATTTGCATCATGGCTGTTGCTAGAGGTTAGATACGCTTCTTGCTACCCCACTAGCATCTTCCTTAAATGCTCTCATTTTCAGAGATACTCAAGAAGCACTAGTTTCATGGTGCCATGGTGTTTTTGTCATTGCCAGAGATAGGCTATAACCCAACCTGTATCCTGGAGGCATTTGTTGTTGGTAAGACTGGAGTCCATGATGAGTTCAGTGGGGTTGTTCATTCTGCACTCCCAGATAATGAGAACTCTTAGTGGCAGGTTTGAACCAAGGCTTAGAGCTCATGTTTATGGTATATATCACTAGCTTATGTGTACGTTGGATTTTTTTTGTCTATTACTTTCTTTCCTTAGTTGAACACATTTTAAGGGAAGGCAGTTAGACATGATTAAGGGTCAGCATTAGGAATGTGTATACATGTATACTTTTCCTTCACATAATGTATTATTTGCAGGGAAATAAGTGCTGCAAAAAGGATGGAAAATATAATAACAATACTGTCATGAATGGTATATGATACTCAGTCTCACAAGTGTAACTTTGAATTAGAAATTCAAATATGTTTTGATCTGAATTATAGAATTGGTGAGACTACGTTTAATCTGTGTATGGTAACAAACTTTAGGAATTAGATAATCAGATTCTACAGAGATCCTGAGCTGGAGGCAGTCAGTCCCTGCTTGTGGCTGTGCACTGTAGTAGTGTGTGGAGAGGTGGGTGGCCCAGATGCCCCTCCCAGCAGGACAGGTCCTGCTCCCACTGGACAGGTCATGCTTGTCTCCTAATGAGAAGCAAGACTGTGAACTAATACTTATTTCCCAGTTACAAATCTCATAGATGATAACTGGTTAAAGCCATCTAAACAGGTTCAGTTTATTCTTGAAGTGGGTGCCAGAGGCAGTGCTGGGAGACTTGTGAGAGAGCAGTAATAGATAATGGCTGAAGCAGTAGATGAAGAAGAGGGACAAGGTAGGTATCTGGAGGGATTAGTAAGGCTGGGAGTGAGAGCCAAGGGTAATGAATGTGGAGGAGGATGCTGAAAATCTAAATGAGCATGTGAAATTTCTTTCTGTTTGATTGCTGCTTGCAGTTACAAGTCAAGTTAACTCCAATTAGCAAGAAATTGCCAGTTGGTGGTAACAGGAAAGCCTGCATTGCTTTTCCTTACCTTTGGGCACTTGACTTTGGAACTTGAAGATTGTTTCAACAAAGTTTCTTTTCAAGCATGAATGTCTAAGATTGTTTATTTGGCTTGTTTTCAAGCGAAGCTACAGTACAAAAAGTTCTACTCTGTGGAACCAAAATAAATTTGGCAGATAGATACATAAAACTTCTTCCACTTGTGGTGGTAGAGTCTGAGGGACAAATGGGATGCGCACTTAGACAAGGGGTCTGAGATCTGATACCTGCTGGTGGAAGAAAGGTAAGAATCAAGTTCAATTCCCGAATGTGGAGGTAAATGTTCTATACTGGCCAGAGACTTCCTCCTCTTCCTCAGCCACATCTCTTCCCCTCTGCTCCTGTTTGCCCTCACTTATGTTGTCCTTTGAATGGTGACTCTGCCCTGCTTAAACCCACAATTACTCCTCTCCTCTGGTTCCTTCTCTTCTTTCTCTGCACCCATCTGTACCTCTTCCTTCTCATCTTCTTCTGTCCCTGTTCCCCAAGCATGAACAAAACCAGGTTTTCCAGAATTAGCCAAGTGTTGCATGAATTCTCATAGAAATAGCAAAAACATCTCTTTGTTTCCAAGATGAGTCATTTCCCAGACTTCAAGAGCTCACTCCAGACATTGAGGTTTGGGAGTCCTCATCATACAAGCTTTCTGAAATATTGCAGAGCTGTATTTTTATTCCCTAACCTTGTAATCAGAAATGAATGAATTTTTATTACTGAAACTTTCTAATACTGTTCAAGCACTGCATAACTGGAAGTGACAAGCACCTTAGCTGTAGGTGTCACTACAATAAATACAGATCCTCTATATACCTTCATAATAGGGGAAAAAAGTGTACCTGCCATTGCCTAACCTCACCCACACACATATACTTAATTTTGGTATTACTGGGGTCACTGTTCCTAGCTGAGGAACATAGAGACTTACATTCTGGACATCTGAGACTTAAGCCTGGCTCCTTCTCACTGACCTTCTCACTGACCTCAGATCAGTTGTTTCATATATCCCAAGTCACTTCCCTGTGTCAAATTTCCCCACTTTTTAAAGAGCTGTGAATAAACTGTATGACTGAAGTGTTACATGTTCATTCACTCATTTATTCATTCATTTATGTTTTCCTTCTTGAAAATATGGCACAATGAAAGAGAAGTGTGTCTCAGCTGTGCTGGCCTGCTGTAAGAGGTTTTAATTTATCAAATCCAAACATTAATCCCATAGCGGGGAAAAATACACATATGCACTGTCTTCAGAAGGATCCAGTCTGGTATAAAGCAGCTGACAATGTTTATAAATCTGTGCTGTTTCAAATGTTTTCCAGCTTCATTTTTCTCCCTAACAGCTAACACTTATCTTCAGCTGAGTTTTGAGCTAACACCTCCTGCTTGTCGCAGCTCAGCCCCACTCCTACACTTCAGTGAAGTGTCACCCTCCCTCCCATTGCACTTGTGTCGCTAGAGAAGGCAGAGACAGGCACAAGGACTGAAAAGTTGGGAGGGGAGATTTGAGCTTGTTCCTGTAATTCCCATGCTTGATTGGAAAGAATGACCCAGGCAAAGGGTTTTGGGTTTTTTTTTCCCCTCTGAATCCCATGCATTCTCTTAAATCAACTGAAAAAGAAGTCCTGTTGCATTATACTGTCTTGTAGGCAACCCATTTCTGTGATTCTTCCTGTTAGGCAGTGGTGTTACTTTCCTTGTTATATGTGGTTTGGCTGTTAAGCCTGGATGTTCAGAAGACAGCTGACAGTTCAATTGCTAGTTTTAAAACTGGAACTTTATCTCCCAATTGACACAGGGGTTTTTGAAAAACTTACAGTACGAGATGGCTGCTGCGCTAACAGAGTTTGTGTTGCCTATATCCTAAAGCTGTGACTAGATGGAGCCCTGCTTGTCACTTGGAAATTTGTGATTTGAGTAAGAGACTTAAACAGGTTTGCTTCGTGTGAGTGTGGGGCATAGCTTCTCTAGGGCTACCCACAAGAGAGTACAGTCTAGTTTGCTTTCTTAGCTGTGTTTAGCTCTGAAACTTCATATCAGTAAGAAATCAATGCTTTAGGTACTTAATATAAGGCTAAGTTAAGAAAGAAGGTGTGACTTTTACAGTTCTCAGGAAAATTACCATATTATGAAGGCGGTTTTTTGGCAGTGCAGGAGGTTCTTTGTATTGCAGATGAGCTGTATGTCTGAACCAAATTACACCGGATGGCACAATCCTTCCTCTGCCACTTGAGAGACTGAAAAAATCCATTCTGAGAACAGCAGTGCGTTCCAGCCTTGACATTAATGTGTGGGATTATCCACTAGGCACGTATGGGCAGTGCAATATGTAAGCTTACAAGATAGACACAAGGTGGAAGTCAATCTTCCGGCATTCTCATGAGGCATGATTAATTCCTGATTCATGCTGGACTGAGCAGACTAAAGAGGCCAGAAGCCTTGCAAAAGTTATGCACCTAAGGTGGTGAACAGATCCCAGCATCTTTTGTTTGTCAGTTTGCAACTTGAAGTTAGATATATACATTAGAAGATAACCAGATTTAGGCTTTTCTCAGCTCCAACACTTCCTTGCAGAATAATGTTTATAGGTAAAGTTAAAGAGGGAAATAAGGTAAAAATTCTCTCTCACACAGTAGGGCTGTGTTTATCCCAAAATATTTCCGCATCTGCAGTGTATTCTGTTGCCAGGGATGTCAGTCAAGCAGGAAAAATTGAAGTTGATTTCTTTTGTGCAACAGCTGCAGAACCAGGAGATGCTGAGGGCAATGGTGAAGAAAGCAGAGATGGAAATCAATGGCAAAATGATCGAAACTGTGAAGAGGCTGGAAGATCCTGTGCAACGACAGCGCAACCTGGTGGAACAAGAAAGGCAGAAATACCTCAACGAGGAAGAAAAGATAGTAAAGAAGTTATGGTGAGTTGATAAACCTCTTAGAATTTGTTGCTTTTGACTGGCTTTTTGTTGCATAAAGTAGTAGCTTTCACCACTGTCTTCAGTGAAACTACGCCTGCACGTCCTGTTTTAGATGTGTTTCCTTGCACTCATGTTGGCTGTAAAACTGTGTTATACAAATCACTGGTAGGTAAGTCCTCTTGTATGAAGAGTTCCAGCCTCTTCAGAAGTCCCCTGTAAAGGGGCAGATGAATACAAGGACCATGACCACCTGTCTTCTGAAAGCCTCCCCCTACCCTAGCTCTTATCTTCAGCTTTATATATATTATGCTTTAGGGAAGGAGGCAGGAATTTCCTCAAGAGCAAATGGATGCAAAGGAAGGTAATGAGTTTGGGTTTAAGTACAAAAATCAGATTGCAATAGTAAGTACTTTGGCTGTTACAAAGAATAGGTAGGGGAAGCTCATAAATAGGGGATTTAAGTTTAATCATAGTCAGCAGAGCCATCTGAAATTTACTTACTGGGATTTCCATACACTTAACTGCAGATAAAAGTACTTTTATTTTTATTTGTTGTTTTGTAAAGGCTTTTTATTCCTGTGTACCTCATTTGTAAGGTAAACTAAGGTAAACAAAAAAACTTTGTTCTACCAAGACTGGTGGGATACAGTTGTTTGTTTTAATCCATGTTCAGAGTCAGCAGGAGGCAAGATGAAGGTGAAATCAATAAGCAATTTAACTAGTTCTAAGACTCACATTTGCAAGATGCTATATAACTAATTATTTCTCATTACTGAATGTAGTTCACGGCTGAAGAATTGCTCCATAGTAGAGAGAAACTTTCTAGTCAGTTTCTCCCTGGAAACGATGATGGAAGAGTCATAAGGGTGCAGTTCTTGACAGCTAAGGAGAGTAAATCTTTCCTGTTGATCAATGTATTGTCAGATTAGTAAGATTTGTAATAAAAATGGTGCATCTGTAAAGACAAAGTCAACTGTTATTAAGGGAGTCTCTTTTCTGTGAAGAGAAGTTGCATGTGCAGTAACAGTCCATGCTAGTGTATATAATCCTTTCAGCTGATTTGTAGTCTTAAATAACATTGTGTTATAGTCTTAAGTAATTACCCTCCTGTTCATCATGTTATTCCTGTGTACCTTGTTGCTTAGCTTCTAGATTGTTTGTTCTCTGTGGAAAGAACAATTTGTGTGATGGCTGTTTATAGCATTGCCTCATAAAATGGATACTGAGTGAGGTCAAGTGCACATGGCAGTAGTTGTTACAGCTGTTCATTTAGGATATGACTTTGATTGCAATATGGTTCTGGTTTATCAGTGTTTGGAATTTTTTCTGTTCACAGAGTTTCTGCTGCTTCTGTGCTGCTTCATTTGTTAATGTTACAGGAAAATGTCTTACTTGGATCATTCATGGGCTGTAAATGTTAGCTCAACCCTTTTAGAGACATGCTAGAAACAAACATAAAATCACAAAAAAACCCCATCAGTGGTGTCCAGCAAGATTTCTTTGTCATACATTTGCACGTTTGCAGGATCAGAGCCCATTGCCACATCTGACAACAAATGACAACATCAGTTCAGCAGCTGATGGCTGTTAATAATGAAGAGCATACACCACAAAATTAAACATCAAATGTCACTGAAAAGGATTAGCACTCTATATAGGCACTTTCAATTAAGCTGATCCCAGTGCAGATATATAAACAAATGCAAAGCAACAGGGCAAAAAAATGTACCATTTCTTAGAATTTCAACTGTTGCCCTCTTGACCTTTTCTAAATCATGCAACTAAATCAGTAGACCGGCCTCATGCAAGACAGGACAGCCTAAGGATTTCTGCAGTACTTACAAAAGTGTGTTTATTACTCTGAAGTGATAAATCTCAGCTTTAAAAGTTCTCCTTTCTGCTCTTCTGAAGATTATCGTTGGGAGAAGTAGAAATAAGAATATTGGTGGGTTTATGTTGTAAACAACAGATGCGTCAGTGTACATTTGAGAGAAGTTTTCTGTGGAGTACCATTTGTGATGGTGCCTACAGAAGTGTACCCATGTGTGTCACAGCTGTAGCAGGATTACAGTTCAGAGATACCTAATGAAATCTAGGGAACACAGTTACACGTAGTGTTTATGCAGTCTTGTAACAGTGAAATACACACTCAGAATTAACTGGGTAGGGTTTTTTCTATCTAGTCTTTCGATTCAACATTAGAGATGTCATACGTGACACTTCTGGTGTCGTAGATACTAGCCTTAAAAACTACCAGACCAATTACAGATGATGATATGACACATTGACTAATGAAGTATTTATGTTGTGAGAAGCATGTTAGAGGTATGACTACTATATTGTAAATTATTGTAAGCACTTTAATAGAGGGAGTTTTATAAGCACAGTAATTTAAATTATAGCCACAGCCAATCTGTCTAATTGGATATGATCCATACAAAGTTACAATTTATATTTTGTTAGGAAAAGTATCAGACTTTTTAATTAAGAGTAACTGTAAAAGAATAACTCAGTAAAAACAAAACCCCACTTAGTAGTGTTAGAGAGCCACTGGTTACAGATACTTCAGAAAAGATATAAGAACATGGCTCAGAGCTCATCTCCTTGCTTTTAATGACTTGCAGCTCAGGGATTTTCCAATCTTGGTATCTTCATATGCAAAAGCTCCACATGGATTGTTTACTTTTCATGAACTTCTTAGCATTTTTAAAAATTCATGTAAACTTTGTTGTCTACAGCATCTGGGTGCAATGAATTCTATAGAGTAGTCCTTTTCCTGGGCAGAAAGAATCTCTTTTTCTTTGTTTTTGAATCTTTCATCTGTCAATCAGTCCCCAAACTCTTAAATCATTCACAGCAGAATATTCACTCTCACCATGCTAGTCATGATGTTAGAGATGTTCCCCCACTCCTTTTCCACTTTCTTTTCCCCCACTCATACCTTTTCCAGCCTAAAAAACCATAGTCTGCTTAGTCTTACTTCTCTTGTAGAAGCCTTTCTATACATTTTGTCATCTTGTTGCCTTTCTCTATGCCCTTTCTAACTTTAGGGCACATGGGGGATGGGGATAGGGAGAGTAGAGCCTGCAATAGCTACATCAAACATGGATACACCATGACTTCATGTGATGGCTTCCCTGTCCTCCTGTTCCACATAAGCTTTCCATTACAAATCTGACATCTCACAAAGGATGAGTATCAGTTCAAAGTTCATTATTCTGTATGATAACTTAGGGTTTGGGGCTTGTTGGTTTTAGGTGGGATTGGGTTTGGTTTTATTTCTCCTCAAGAGCATTACTTTACTTTTATTAGGAGTTAATTTAACCTTTGGCTTTTTCCTGGTCAGTTAGTGTCAAATGGTTCATCTGCAGCCTTCTGCAGTCACCTTGCATTTTTATTCCCCTGAATAATGTAATATCCTTTGGAAATTTTTTTTTACTATACTATTCATCCTTTTTTCTAAATAATTTATAATACGTTGAAAAGCCAGTCCTAGCACCAATCCCTGTGGAACCCACCAGCAAACTGCATTCATTGAGTAAGCTGTTCACTGATCCCTTCCCTCTACTTCCACTGCTTTATCCATGAGAGAATTTTTTATCTTGTCCCATGGCAACTTCGCTTTCTTGAAAGCTTTTGCTCAGGTACCTTGCTGAAAGCTTTTTGGGCTATAATTTGTCCCTATGTGTTTGTTGTTTCCTTGTGGATTTGTGAGACTTACCTTTGCATTGCACAAATCACATTAATTACTCCCTAACACAGTATATTTATCCATTGGTCCACTAATTCTTTACTGTTTATTCTTTATTTTGGTATCTATCAATTACACCAGTCTAGATGTCAGTCTCACCAGAATACAGTTCCCTGGATAGTCCCATCCCCTTTTAAAAAATGTATTTGTATCATCCCTGACACTTTCCACTATTCTGATGCCAAAGCAATTTTAATCAAGTAGTTAGATGCTTAGTATTAATAGTTCAACTCTTTCACCCTCGAGGCGTTATTGAACTCCAGGGCACATACCATCTGGCCTGGGTGATTTGTTACTATTAATTTTGTCAGTTTGTTTTATAACCTGTTCTACTGATACTGCAATCTGAGACAGATCCTCTGATGCTTTTTTGCCTAAAGAAAGATTTCAGCATAAGAGTTTGCTTTGGCTCTGCTGGGTAAAACACAGATGCAGAAAAATAATTTATCTTGTATTAGCCTTCTGAAACTGCATTAATGTGAGTTTCTTGTTAATTGGGTTTGCTCAGTCCAATCTATAAAGACAAATTGCTTCCCCAGCGGTGGAAAAGAAATGCTGGAGACTGCTGGATCTGTTTCAGACTTCGGCTTCTGAAGGCTGAAGTTTCTTTTCCCTTGCAGTTAACCACATGAGGCCATGTAATATGTTATCCCCTGAGTAATTTCAGGATCAGTTGTCTTGTTTGATAGTATCACTGTATGGAATTTAAGGGGCTTTATGATGACCTTTCTGTTTCTGTTCAAATAACAAAGGGGAAAGAAAGCCCTTGTCAGCTACCTGGAAGTCTTCCCTTTATCCCTGTATGTCCAACAATCAGAAACCTTCTAAAAGACTGTAACATTGTTCTGTGTTTGTTCCTTTTTCTCCCTTCTATCCATGAACAAATTTAAGCTTCTGCCCTTATCTTTTGGTTGCCTGGTGTATCTATGCCTTTATTGTAAAGGCAGACACAGAGACAGCAATCTGCATTATCGCAGCTTCTTCCGCGAGAAAAATACCCCGAGAAACGTTCCCTTGCTGCCATCGTGTGGTCCATTGGATTGATGCCTGCCGGTATGCTTGTGTGAGTGGAAATCTTAACTCCCCCAGCTTTCTCAAGGCAGAGTCTTAGAAGTGGTCTTAAAATGGAAACAGGATCATTTACCTCCATTTCTTTGTGATGTGTTCAGAAGAAACTTACGATTCTTAATTCAAAATTGTTTTATAGTTTCTAAAGTTCTTAGCCTTTGGATTGAAATGAACTGCTTGGTCTCTTCACTTGATGTTCAGATCCTAATACTGGTTTTGTTTCTCCGTATATCAGAAGTACTAGTGTCTTGCTATTGTTCTGTGTGACTGTGCTTCCACTTTAAATTGACCTAAGTGTGGAGTGGTGCTGCAAGAGATTTTCTCCTTTTTATCCCATCGCTGGCCACCTACTCCTCTCTTTTCCTCTATTTGTCACCTGTCCACTGAGATGGATCTAGGAAGTGACCTGGCTGAAAATAGGTAATTTTCTGGTGGATCTTCGTGGCAGTGCTGGCACAAGGGAAATATGTGGAAATGCAAGGCCTGCAGTTGGTGCAGAAGGTAGTCTTCCCCTACCACTTTTCAGGCAATCAGTCCATACCTTGATTCTCTTACAGCAAAACTGCTACCCGAGTGGATGCAAGAAACGAGGTCCATAATAGGTTAAAATGAGTAGCCAGTTTGTCAGTTCAGAGTTTGGTTTACATTGTACACCATGCAATTAAACTGCTTCTTGGAATATTCCTTTTAGTAAATTTGGTACGTCAGTGGAGGTGGATTTCTCTTAGATTAAATATTGAAGAGATGACAAGAAGTCCAGAGATGGACTTTTTACATGCACATGTAAAGACAGGACAAGGGGGAATGGCTTTAAGCTGAAAGAGGGGAAATTTGATTAGACATTAGAAAGATATTCTTCACTGAGGGTGGTGAGACACTGGCACAGGTTGCCCAGAGAAGCTGTGGCTGTCTCATCCCTGGCAGTGTTCAAGGCCAGGTTGGACGGAACTTTGAGCAACCTGGTCTAGTGGGAGGTGTCCCTGCCCATGGCAGCAGTTTTGGAACTAGATGATCTTTAAGGTTCCTTCCAACCCAAACCATTCTATGATTCTATGATCATTTTAAAGTTATTTGCATGGATGTTTGTGTAGTTGCACATCTCAAGATACAATAATGCATTTCAGGGCTTTTTGAGAAATTTTTAAGCTTCTGTGTGGAAACTCCAGGTAAAGTAATGTGGTCTCAACTTTAAATGGAAAAAAAAAGTGGCTCCCCCCAGACAAAAATAAAGTTTATGTGTCTGAAGGATTGTGAAAATTCCATACTCCACACGAAGTATGGAAGCATGGAAAAAATATTGGGAAAGGTGATGAGGAAGCACCAGATGGAGCTGGAGGAAGGACGGGACAGCACTGGTTGAAAAAAAGCATCTGAAGTGATTAACTTTTAAATCCAAATGCTGAGTGAGAGCTGCACACGATGTACACGTGCTGTTTCAGTCTGTCTATCTGTGGTAACAGGACTCTGTATCCTGCCTAGCAGGACCCAGCAGATAAACAAGGTTGCATCAAGGGGCCATTAGTGCCAGGTTTTGGGTTCTAACTTCACTGTTGGGCATTCCTTTGCATGTCATCAGCAATGAGAAAATGCAAGGTGCAAACCAGTACTGGATGTAGTGGTAGAGTGTGTCTGTACCCTTCTAGGATTTGCATCCCCAGAGGTCTGGCTGTTAGATATGTTTCACCACACCCCCCGCCCTTTATCACACAGCTGCCCTGAGGTCAGTATGCACTGCACATCTTCAGCCTGTCAGAGAAATCAATTAGTCATCTTGTTCCTATACTGTGAGTGTGAGTGTCCAGCATCCTCATTTCCCCTCATGGCACCCTGCTGTTTCTCCCACCTGTGGTGTCAGCTTTAAAGATGCCATAGTTGAAGTTTCTGGATTAGTTTAGTCCATTCATTTACATGTATTTGACTGTAATGTGAAAGCCCTGCTTACATTTTATGTCCACTTTTTTTGTTTTGCTAGTGAGCTAGAGGCATTTGTTGAGGACCTGAAGAAGGACTCCAGTGCTTCCAGCAAGACAGTTACACTGAAAGATGTTGAAGATGGAGCCTTTCTTTTGCGTCAAGTGGGAGAAGCTGTTGCCACCCTGAAAGGTATGTACTTCTCCTTTTTACTTTTGATTCTTCTCTTTTAACCACAGTGGCTGAGAACAGTTTTTTGCCTTTGATCTGGGAGCATTAACTCACTTCCAAAAAGATATGAAGTTGGAATTAAGGAGCTTGTTGCATGGCCCCTGTAGAGAGGAAGACATTCAACTATTTGACATTTAGCCCGTCATCCATTTCTCCCCTGGGCTTTTATCATTTCCTCTTGAGCTTCACAGGTATTATCTTTCCAGGAGAGTTCCCAACATTGCAGAATAAAATGCGTGCAATCCTCCGGATTGAGGTGGAAGCCGTGAGGTTCCTAAAGGAAGAACCACACAAGCTAGACAGCTTGCTGAAACGTGTGCGCAGCATGACTGATGTCCTTACCATGCTCAGGAGGTGGGATTTTTGGTTTGTCTTTTTCTTTCTTCAAAACTAAAGGATTTCCTCAAGCAGTGCTAAAACAGCTTTTGGGCTTGGGTTCTCCCCCTCTTGTCAGGCAATTTCCTTGTAGTATTTTATAGGTTCTTTCTACAGCCCTCTCAAGGGAAATCGAATTAGCCTTTCCTGTGCTCTGTGCAGTGGTTCTGTTCTGACCAAGAGGCCAAGAAGCCCACTCATTGAGATCTTATGATTTTCAATCATAACTAGCTTCCTCTGAACTCAAGACTTCCAGAGTTTGGAAGTACCTGGATGAGAAAGCTTACAGAGTGGCATTAGTCTCATATATAAGCTAATTAACTGTAGGCCTTTACCATGACTTTAGCTAACAGAAATCTTCCCTGAGACTGAAACATGCATCCCCAAAAATGTAACAGTAAGAAATAAAACGGGGAAAGTTTCTAAGGGATAAAGATATCCTAAACCTTCTGAAAGAAAGAAATATTTTTCATTATGCAATGCTTGTGAATTCATGCAGATTCTTTATTCTGTTCTCTGCAAGGTAGGTGCATTGAAGTTGAAATATTAGATAACATTTGTGTTCACTAAAAACCATTGTTTAGCTATGTTTGTCAGAATATATGAGCAGCATATGACTGCTGATTTATATGAAGCAATAGACGTTGGATTAATTTCATACTTGAAACCAGTGGATCAGGCCAAAATGTCAGTGGTGGTGGTCGCAATTTTACTTCAATTACAAGAAAATGTAAGTCATAAGCATTATTCTAAGGAATGTAGGATTGTCATTGTTTCCATATATCCTGAAGCATACGTAAAATGGATTTGCCAGTACTGGCATATGGATAAAATGGTTTATGTAACAGGTTTTACAAGAGCCATCATTTATTTTTCCATGTAGATAAACATCTATATCCCTTCATATTAGTTTCCTTTTCTTAAAAATTACTGCAGATATTTCCTGTCTTGCCCTGTTTGGAAAGAAGAAAACAACCCAATAAGTTATGCATGCCAAAGTTTTACCAAAAGTAATTTTTTTGCAGTGAAATTGTGTATTAAGCCTCAGAAAGTATGTCTCAGTAACGGAAAAACTGATGGCATCTGTTGGCTAGATACTCTCTGAAGCTCAGTCATTTCACAGCTAGCTGCCAGAAATAGCTGACTACATCCTCAGCTCATCCTACCACAAACTCTTGACAGACAAGACCTTCATGAAGTATCATTTTTAGGCTTTGTTTTGGCAATTTTCAGACTGCTACCTCATGTTCTACTTTCTGTGCTAATAGTCCAGGAGCAGCATATAAACTTTAAGTCACCTGATTTCCGTTATCCCTCTAAAATAACCCACTGTAACTCATGGTTTGGTAAAAAAGTGCTAGAACATCCATTTACAAGTTTGTAAACATTTCAAAAGGCACAAACATCCTAATTAGAGTGGCCTCTTTAAAACTCTGAGTCCCTGACTGAGAGAAAGCTATAAAATCACACAACCAAGAGGATCAGGAAGAAGAAACATTTGGATATTTTTGATATAGGTGCTTTTCCCTTGCAAAAGTTTATTGTTAATTATTGCTCATGACTTGCCTGTCTGCTAAATATGTGCCATGCTGTTGTGTTCAATTTGGCTGGGCAGACATGTTACCGAAGGACTGCTGCGGGGTGTGGATCCATCCCAAGCTGTGCAATACTCTGCTATGGAAAAGGCTGCTACAGCTGACACCCTGAAAAACCAGGAGGAACTCAAGCATACCCAGGCACATGCACAGCAAAACCTCTCAGCAATCACATCAGAGTCCCAGGTGTCATCAGTCAAGTCAGAAGTCATCCCCTTCTCAACAATGACAGTCCATCACGTCCAGAGCTCGCCCGTTGTCATCCATCAGTCTCAGCACTCATCAGCACTGATCAACCATGCCCAGGGTTCACCCACTGCAGCCAGCCACAGCGAAGGTGTGCCAGCGGGTGGCCACCCCTCAGCCACCCCTCCAACCCCACTGCAAGAGCCTGTGACAGGATCCCAGCCCACACCAACTACGCCAGCACCACAGGTCTCTGTCAATGGCACCACCATGCAAAGTCTTTTCATTGAGGAAATTCACAGTGCAAGTACTAGAAACCGAGCTGTATCAATTGAGGTACGGTGTATTCCACTCAGTCAGTTGTCCTCTCTTTGGGTCTGAGCTCCCAGTCTCATTTTTGAGACTGCAGGTGGGATTTTTAAAATGCATTCTCAGGACTTCATTGTTTAACCCCTAACTGCACCGTGCACTTCTGAAGATGCCTTCTGATTATAAACACAACAGGATAATAACATGTAACCAAAATGAGTAACTGTGATTTTTAACTAACCTTTATAAAAAAAATATATATAAAAAGATTTTTTAGAATACCTTATTTCTGGCAACACTTGCATCCGTGGATTTCATTCATTCTTTAAATCTTCATATCCCTCAGTATGGAGAGGTTATAGTGAAAAAGTATAAAGTTTCAGTGGTTTCACACAAAGAGTTATTGAGAAAATCCACAGATGAGCTCTCATGTCTTATTACGGACACACACTTTAATCACCAGTGTGATACAGTAAGACAGAGACCCAGATTTAAATTTCTCCTTTGTTCCTTTAGTGAGCAGTGGCCACTGTCAGTCTGTCGTGTGTTTGTGCCATATCTAGCACAATGGAAATCAGAACCAGTGTACGATTAGTCTTAATATATTTCCTCTAGCTGCTGACTAGAACTGCAAGAATCTATCCATATTTACCTATAATGTTTACATACTTTTTTTTTTTTTTTTTAAGTAACTGATCACAACAGGAATCAGAGAAATAAATAGCTGCTTTACTATTTCTTGTCTAGAAAGCTGAAAAGAAGTGGGAAGAGAAAAGACAAAACCTGGATCACTATAATGGAAAAGAATTTGAAAAGCTCTTGGAAGAGGCCCAGGCCAATATAATGAAGTCAATTCCTAACCTGGAGATGCCTCCACAGCCAGCAACCCTGCCAAAAGGGGATGCATTGGAAAAGCTAGATGTCTCAGGTAAGATTTGCTAGAATATATGTTTCTAAAGAATTGCATATCTGGAAAGATGTTATATTTTTCCTACTTTCTAGAATGGTTTCAATTTACAGATTTCTGTGTTCTTGATCATAGCTGTGAGTATGTTTCTGAGGAATAATGCAGGTCCCATGGGCAGGAAGCAGTGATTTTGCAGATGCCAGTGTGGGTAACCAGCTGAAGACAGATTTCTCCATATTGCAACTGAGAGTGAGTTTGTCCTCTTGAGATGAAGACTCCTCATTAGCAGGAGAGTAAGAGTACACTTTGCTTTTGATGGAGAGGAGAGTGTCTGTATGCTATACTATATCTATATCTAGTAGAGATACTACATGTAACTGTGTTCAGTTATGCACTTAAAAGTTTAGCATTACAGAGAGCTCTGGAAAGAACCACAAAAAGATTGAGCACAGATGATCTTACCAAGAGAACCTAAAAATCTCTTTCTATAGACAGATTTGTTATCAAAAGAAGATCAAGACACGCCTGAGGTTTCTGAGGGTAAAGAGGCCTTTTAACTTTGCAGAAAATGTTCCAACAAGTTCCAGCAATTGAAAGCTGAAGCTAGAAAAAGCCACATTAAAAATTAGCTGTCAAATTTTAACATTCAGAGTAACTAATCACTAAAGTTTAATTATGAACATACGGGATTCTCTGCCACTTCAGATCTTAAAGCAATACCATGTTCCTTTCTGAAAGGCTGCTCAGGCACAAGCTCTGTGCATGAATCAAGACCTGCTTATAGAAGTCTTTGAACCTACATTAAGTGGAAAATCAGACTGTTTGACCTTAAAGGTCCTTGCTAACTTCATAGTCTTAAACTATAAATACAACCAATGTTTTGAATGAGTACCTCAGAGGTCTGAAAATGACCTGTGATGCTACATAACAGAGTTCTCTTGAGGAAGTGGATAGATATGTAGGGATGAATGAGAGTGATGTTCACAGTTATCATTCTGGCTGTTCACAGATACACTGAGTTTCAAGCTGAATGTGAGTCAGGCTGTGACCCTGTAGCAAAAAAAAAAAACCCACGCAAACATAATGAGATGAAAAGGAATATCTGCAAGACACATGGATCTGCTCAGCAGTGATGAGCTCTTCCATAGAAATTCCCAGACTCAATGTTTTGGACTTCAAGGAAGACTAAACAAATAGGAAGGAGTCAAGGGGACAGTGATGATAACGACCAGAGCTCTAAAAAAACATCATCTATTGGGAACAATAAAGAAAGAACTAGTTTTGTTTAGCATGAGGAAGCAAAGGCTGAGAAATTAAAAAGCAATCTCTGAATACATAAGAATTTCCTTAAAAAGAAAAGACTAACTTGCATTGTGTAGGTAGAACGGCAGTAGAAGTTGGCAACTGCAACCAGGAAGGCCACCTTCTACAGTCTGCTAGTACTCCCCCAGCATTCCCAGTTGGTATTAAGGAGAATATCCCAATCACCTCCTTTTCATATCCATTATGGATCTTTTATCCAGTAATTCCTCTATACCTGCTTATACCATCTGCATCCCCACTGCTGTGACAGCAAGCTCCCCATCTTGTGTAGGAGCTTTCTTTCATCTATTTTAAACTGATCTCATACCAGCATCATTGAGCTCCCCAGAGTTCTAATACTCTGCAGTTTGGCAAACAACAGCATTCCCTTTAGGAAATCATGAAGGCAGTGAATAACCTTGATCATATCCTGGAGGTCTCAGCCTGTCCCACAGGCTCCACCCTGCCAACTTGCAGCCTTTCTGGTGCCTCCATCTACGCCAGCTGCTCCCTCCCTTGGCTAATTTCAGTTGCCCTTCTCTTAACAACTCCACTGTGTCCTGGAGCTGTGGAGACCAGAGCTGCATGCTGCAGCCAAGGCGTTGGCATGCCAAGGTTGTAAATAGCTGAAAAACAGTGCCCTGGGGTTTGTGTACAAAAATTCATGTAGGATTCAGAGGGGTGTTTTCAGATCCAGCATTTTGTTCCGGGCGCATCTTTAACATTGACAAATTGTGGCCCCTTGGATGTTTCACAACAAACACATTTAAAATAAATCTTTGTTGAACCTCATAAAATAATTTTAGAATTCTGGCAGTGTTCAGTCAGGTTACTGCCTATCAACACAGTTATCTTCTATAATGTGTGGCATAAAAAGTGGGCGAAAATACAGACCACATGGGTGCAGTGAGCTGTGACATCTTAAAAAGTGCAGAGCACAGTAACAGAGAAGTTTGGTAACTTACTCACATAGTTAACTAATCCACTTTTAGAATACAACTTTGCACAGTGTGTAGCCAGCAGATTTAAGGAGAAATTTGATGAGATTGAGACATTTGCCTTCTGTTGTGCATAATGAATTCTGTAATAGTAACATAAATAAGGGAACGGCAAAACTTTTCCTTAATATATGATTAAGTTTCTCACATGCCACCCAACCCTTCTATGATTCAAGATAAAAACTGCAATATCAGTGTGCTATAGACTAGAAGACTGAGCAACATAAGAAAAGAGAGACCACCTACCTACTCATACAGTGCGTAAGACATTTTAGCCATAAATAAGCAAAGTCCTCTGTTGCCTTTGCTACAGAACCCAGAGAGATCACATTGCCAGAATATGTTGTCTCAGCCATTCTCCAAACAGAACCCAATTAAGAAACTCTTTCTTTTCCCCTGCAAAGAACAAAACAATGTAAAATTACACACTGCACAATTTTGCAGATGGTTCTGTAAGTGCTTATTTAATACGTCTTTACTTCAACTCATCTTTATCAAGGTTATTCAGTAAAAATATGAGGACTGTCTCTAGCATGTACATTAGAAACTGGGCTCCTTCATCTCTCTTTGTGCCTTCATATGTGAGAATGCTCTGACTTTTGCATATGCTGAGTGATCAGTAAATTCCACTAAAGACAGTTTGCTTCTCTGACTACAAAGGCTGCCTCAAGGCAGGCATTATTATTTTGAGATCTTTTTAAGACATGATGGATTTTTTCATGCAAGTAGAAATCTGTATGGTGAGAGAAATTAATTCCAGTCTGTCTGTGCCTGTTGAAGAATGCTTCAGCTCAGTGTTGAAGAATGTTTAGGTTCAGTGGAACAGCTGGCGACGAACAACTCCCATTTTGTTCACAGAAGTGCTGAGCCCTTTGGCACCAATGAAGATTCCATGAAGTAACATTTTTGTTCATGGGTAGTCTTGGACTCAGTGAGTTGTACATGTCCATTTACTCCTTCCTTTTAAATATGCTACAAGAATTCAACCATAGGAAAAAATGTATTATAATAAGGTCTTTTCCTCAAATTTTTCCCTCGAAAGTTTGTTTGGGGTTTTTTTGGGTTGGGTTCCCCCCCCCCCCTTCTTATTTAGATTGGGAAACATAATTGTTTAGTAAAGAAAACAGAAATCCAGCTTTGAAGTTTTGTCTTGCCCAGTGTCATTGTGTTGACTGTGAGGAAACCCATCACAACCTCTCCTTAATGACCCCAGCTAGGGGATGTGAGGGCAATTTGATAGCTTGTGCTTCTGCCACACTCACTGTCGATTTCTCTTGCCTGTGTTTCTCCTTTTTGTTTCCCCTTTTGAAGATGGAGATGGATGAAGGTCTCACAGATGTGAAAGAGATGGTAGGAATCATTCTCTCTTTGTGGCTTCCATGTCTCTCATACAGCCTTGCTCTCATTAAGTGTGAGAAAAACTTAATGGGTTGACACCATTCAAAGGAGTAGGGATTTGCACAGGCCCTGCATCATAGTCTGCTAAACACCATCTTAGAGAATTACTCTGATTTTACAGCAGCAGATATTGCCTTGGGCTGGTAGAAGTTATCTGATGTTACTAAAAATGGAGTGTTGTGTATTCACCAAAGAAGTGGTCTAATGTAAAGTGCATCTGCAAATTCACTCATCTTGCAACCCTGCAAGTGAGTGCCAGATAGCCAGGGACAGAGATAATACAACAGAGCATTTCTTTAAGCTTAAGCATCTTCAAAGAACATTTGAGCTAAGAAGGGAGCAAAGATGAAGCCGGGTCAGACAAGGGCTCCATCCAGCCCCAAGGGCCAGCCGGCATGTTGGAGAAGCCTGCCGCAGCCCCAGGAGTGAATGGTTATGCAATAACTTGCCTAGAGGGAACACTTAGCCCTGAACAGCTGGGTAATCGCAAAAGCAGGAGGTTTTATCGTTCTGGATTATATTCATTCCAGCTGTTTATATAACACTGAGTAGCTGCAGAAAGGTCGTTCTCTCGCCTTTGAAAATAGACATTGTGAACAGCAGTGTGAAAATGGTGGCTGTTGCCATGTGTGATGCTTGGCCTGTGACCAGAAACACAAAAGTACAGGTCATGAGCAGGGTAATGCTGCTTCTGGAAAAAATGCCATCCAGTGACACTGGGAAGAGGAAGTGGCAGCTGGATGGGAAGCACCTTGTGTGTGCGGGGTGGGGGGGTGACAGTTTGAGAAACTAGTCTCCCTTGGAAGACTCTCCTCAGAAAGCAAGGGCCGGTTTTGCTCACCTGTTTTATTTGATATTTGAATCTTCACAGGCTAGTGAAATATCTGTAGGCCTCTTATATTATAATTCAAAGGCAAAACTGTTCATTCCTGGAATAGTTAGTAGTAAGTAAAGTGAAAATAAATGCTGTCTTAGGAGAGGAGAGAGTGCAGTTGCCCCTGGTGTTCCCCTGCCCTGCTCAGGGGTGAGAGGACTATTGAACTTCAGAGGTGGCATCTCTAGAGCGGTGTTCACACTTTCCCTTCAGCCTTTGTCTGAACTTAGCTAGTTTTGTCCAACCATAGGATGGACAAAACTCTTCAGCTCCTCTCATAGCACCTTGCTGGCAGCACCTCCCAGGCAGAGCTGAAGCGTGTGCTTGAGTGCTTCAGAATTGCTGACAATGATCAGCCTCCACATTTGGTGTCTAGGTTTGTTGCCATGCTTACGAAGGAGACTATGGGGCACTATTTGTAACCTGGTACCCAGCTTGACCTGTACTTTACATGCTTCTTTGCAAGTGATTGATTGATTTGCCAATGTGTGCTCTACTATCACACTTGTACACTGAGGGCTGAAACCCAGCCACAGGGGCATGGAGGATAGTTAGGCTGAAGTTTTCTGGGTGAAGTGACCCAGTTCCTTTGTGCAAGTGCAGCACTGTTTACTTTCACTTGAGGCAGTTTCTACTCATATATATTCAGCATCTGGACCCTTTAAGACATTTTTTTCCTTTCCAGTTGAAGCAGGGATGTGAATACTTTTTCCCCTTCTTCACCTATGATCACTTTGTGCTGCTGTGTTTACTTGCAGAAGAAGTTCCCGACGGAGAACAGGATAATGACAGGATGACCAAGTCTCCACCTCCTCCACCTCCACGGCGCAGTTACCTGCCAGGGTCAGGACTAACCACAACGAGATCAGGAGATGTCATCTATGCCCCCAGAAAAGAAGCTACTGCTGTCAAGGTTTGATGATTCAGACTCTAGGCAATCAGACTGTTGATGAGTGGCTGGCACAGAGAAACATTCCCAGGCTTGGGCTGTGTCTGCAAACCACTGAATGAGTTGAGACAGAGCTACATCCTGGAGAGATACTGAAACTGCTTACCAGGAAAAACTGCTGTTAGGCCAAATGAACAAGTAAGGTTTGATCAGTTCTGTCTACAGGAGCCTTGCTGCTCCTGTCTCCTGGCAGTGTAGAAGGTAAGCCACAGGCTGCTTTCATTTGGAGGGGTAAGAAGATTAAAACCAAAAAAAGCATGCCTTATACAGATGGGGAAGATCAGCTCAGATTTGAGAGCATTTTAACAGAAATGTTGCGTATTAGTTTCTATGGGCTTCCTTTCCCCATCTGTTCTTTTCTCTGAAGGAAGTGGAGGGAAGTCCAGTTTAGGAAGCTTTTTAATCTGTGAACATCCTATTACATCAGCAGTATTGGTTGCTTTTGAACTGTTCAGGAAGAGAGACCTTGCAAGGAGCGAATTACAGTAGTACTGAATTTTCTGCATTTGCTTCCATCAGGAGGGCTCCACTATATTGTCTGTCTGCTTTCTCATCCTCACTGTAGGAATGCAGTGAAGACATTGGGCAAATAGCACAATCCAAAGCTCCTAAAGAAGATCAGGCATTGTCTCGGAGCACAGGGCATGCCGTAGCATCAGCTGCAAAAGATGAAGAGGAAGAAGAAGGAGATAAAATAATGGCAGAATTACAGGTATGCCTTCTGTGCTGCACATAGAATCATAGAATGGTTCGGGTTGGAAAGGACATTAAGGATGATCTAGTTCCAATGCTCCTGCCATGGAGGCAGGAAGACATGAAGACATCTGTGCCTAATATCACTTCCAGGGCCCCAGCACAATTTCTAGCTCAGAACATGAAGGAAACCACATCTGTCAGACTCAGGTGATCCCACTTTATTGCACTGGGTGGTGCGCATTTTTAAGTGCCCCCCAGATTTTGTTCAGGAGGTCTGGAGCTGAGAGAGTGGTCAAGAATGCAGTGGTTGCCACTGAAGAATCTTACACACATAGATGGGACAAGTAAAATCTTGGTGTGCATTTGGTGTGGCTGTCCTTGGCCTAGCATTCTTGCTTAGTACCAGGAGCTGAAAGCCCATCATTCATGTTAACATTGGTGGCAATAGAGAATACGGGGTCTGCTCCTGGCAGGCTGTGCTCACTTGTTCTGTGCTATGGTCCAGTGTTTGAACATTGAATCATTTGCTGTTCCCTGTTGTGTAACTGGTACATTACTCTGACAGTGGCATGGAAGTAGTTTTCTCTTGCTGGTCCTTCACTTGATAGCACATAGGCTGATTTAGTTCAGTGATGGCGATGCTGTAGTAAAAGCTAACTGTTTTACCTACCATTAGGGAGCTGCAGCTTCCCAAGGGCACCCTCCATCCTCCTCTTTGCCCACAAAGGAAAGGAGATGTGGATCAGCTTAACTGGCTATAACTTCTGATGTTGGGGTGTTTCAGAGCACTGTCATGATATGAGATGATCCCTGGGGCCACCTGCCAAAAGGAGGGTTTGGTGATATCTAGGGAGCATGTGCAGCATGGGAGATGTGGATATTAAGCACTAGTAACTGTTATATGTGGTGAGTGTCCCTTTGCTCAGCCCTCAACCATCAGTCCTTCAGACAGCTGGTTTGCAGGGAGCGAGAACGGTGCTTGACCCTCATCCCCCTGTTTGTGTGTTAATAGCTAGAGCAGCAGGAGAGCTGGGGACAGTGAAACTGTCACATCCTCTCCTGTCTCTCAGAAAGCAACCCGGCTGCCTTGCAGCTGGTGACAATGAAGTGGAGGTTAAGGTCTGGAAAGGAGGGGCTGAGGGGAGCTAAGGTTGCTCAACAGGCAACGAGTTACACTCCTTTTGGAAACAAGCAGTGCTCTTTTTAAACCAATACCAAAATACCAGTTATACTTTAGGAGGTTGACAGAGTACCATGTTTTAGAAAGGGTAAACTGCTTGATCCAAGAACAACAGGCTCATTAGTATATCAGTAACAGGCAGGATAATGGAAAATCAGGTATGGGGTTTGATCAGTGAAGAACTAAAGGGCAGATGGAAATAGTTATGCTCGTAAACACAGTGTAATCGAACACAGATCTGTCAAAGCAAACAACACTCTGATCAGGCAACTGGTTTGACTGCTTAAAGTGAATTGTATCCCTGTAAACATTTTTTGTAAGTAAGTAATTCATTTAATCAAACATCATACAACATTCTGATAAAAATCTGGCACCACAGAGTATAAATAACCCCAAAACCTATCATAGGATGATTGAGAGCTGTCTGGCTCTGAAAGTGCTGCCCCTGGTGCAGGTATTTATAGTCAGGTCCCTTAGGAGTCAGCTACAGGCCCACTGTCACTGTATTTTCATCAATAGCCTGGAAATGAGTTTCAAATCCTTACTGTTTATATCATCTTAAATCAAATCAGTGAAGTATAAGAGCAGGGAGATGATAGCCGTCATTTAATGATAATAATACATTCACTGAAATGTGAAGTCCACATGAAGAACAACAAAATATAGGCCAGACCACAGCTGCATGTCTTGGAGAAAAACAGGAGCTGCAGTAACAAGTTAGCGTCTGCTTTGGGTGTAGATGTGAGAACAGGGAGTGTTTTTATCTCTGAGTTCAGGATCAGTGAGATCAGCACTGGGCTGCTGCCTCCATGACTAAGTATGCATGCATCTCCCATTTGAAAAGGCTATTAGGAATGTGAAAGTTCAGAAAAGACTTGAATAAAATGTGAAAGTACATTCATTGGAAGAACCTTTTTAATCTACCAGAAAAAGACATAATAATAATAATCAGTCCTCAGCTGCTGTAGTATAAACTGTATTTTGGACACTATTATAGACGTTGTGGAGCAAAGGTGATAAATAAGCAAATTATCAAGGGAAATAATGGATTCTTCGTTACTTACTCAAAGTCTGAAGGACTTTGCGAATGCCTTTGTAGATGGCATGTCTAACTCAGAAACACATCACTGATCTCACATGTGAGTAGCTGCAGAAAGTCTGTACCTTACAGTGAGGGTGGTGAGGCACTGGAACAGGTTGCCCAAAGAAGTGGTAAATGCTCCATCCCTGTCAGTGTTCAAGGCCAGACTGGACAGAGCCTTGGGCGACATGGTCTAGTGTGAGGTGTCCCTGCCCATGGCAGGGGGTTGGAACCAGACGATCTTGAGGTCCTTTCCAACCCAAACCATCCTATGACCTTGTATTATGAGGAGCAATACTACTTTTTCTGATAGTTCCTTGTCATCTTATATACTCTGATCTATAAGCACATACAAACAGGATGTAATGGAAAATCAGAAGGAACTACACCCCGATTTTTGCACTGGATTTTTTTCTTGATTGTTGCTTTTCTGGTTTTACATAAACATGCGATATATAAATACAGTATTTAAAGAACAGGCCTGATTCTAATCTGTAATCAGGGTTATTAATTTAATAAGAGTTGCCAGGTACTAAATAATTTCCCTAGTACATGGTATAAGAATATAATCATCTTGCATGTCACTGTGTGTTTGACTCCTGTAAGCACTCCTCCCTCATTCCTCTGGCTGGCAGAGATGTCCTGCTTGGACATCTCACTGAAGGCAGACCATGCCAGAAGAGGCCTGCAGAAATGGAGGTGATGCACACTTGCAGCCAGCACTACATGCTGGTGGCACTGACAGTTCTGCTCCTCTGGATGTGGGAGCTAGTTGGATAGAGAAACCCAAAACAAATAGGAAGAAGATAGCAAGATGAAGGGATGAAAAGTCCAGGCCATGCCGTGGGGTACCGTGGTCCACAAGCCCTTACGTTGGGACTATGAGCATCTGGAGCATTAGTGAGGACTGTGGCAAAGACACGCATTTCCAGGTCTAAGGTTTTAGTAGCGGCTCGTGTGAGGATAAGTGGAGTTACGTAGCTCTTGCATGATTATCAGCCACTAGGCAGTAGGTACTGTCAGAAGTCCAAAGTTTTTCATGGGCTTCCTACTTAAGTTTGGATAAGTCTGTAGCATCTCTGTAAAAATCAGAAATCAAGCTTATCTCCCTGCAGGGAGTGTTGAGGTCAGTGTGATGAGTTGAAGTGCAATCTTGGCAGACTGGAAAGGATGCCCTATTTGTCTTAGTCTGATACTCTAAAAATCTCTTATTTCATGAGCTCGTAGATAGTGTTATTGAGCTGTGAATGTTAAAAAGAAATGCTCTCTTTTCACTTGGTCATCTCCAGAGATTTCTGTGTAAAAGCTCTTGGTCTCCTGATAACCTGCAGTATTTATTTCCTAGGCTTTCCAGAAGTGCTCTTTTATGGATGTAAACTCAAACAGTCATGCTGAACAGTCCAGAAATGATACACATGTTAAAGACCTAAGGCCTGGGACTTTAATGCATCACAAGGAAAAGAAGGTAACAAGTGGCATTTGTAAACATGCCACCCAGTCTTGGCATAACCTTCTTTTCTTCAAAACTAATCTTATATCTTGTGTCCTGTTCTCTCTAACCCCACCCACCACTGCCCAGTGGTTTTCTTCCTTTTATCTCAATATGGCTCAGAAATGTCCATATGGAATATTATATCGCATTATATGTCTCATCAGCAATTGTACAATGGTTGCATGAAGTTTTATGATGCTGTGAAATCCCAATTAAAAGAGGATCCATCAGTTTCTGCCGAAGAGATGCTCATACTCTGTAGGACATCCTTCCAGTGCTGTTCTGGCAATGGATAATGAAGCATCTCCCCTAAGGCATGTTCTTGTCTTGAGGGGAGTTACTGGTTCCTCTCAGTCTCAAGAGCCACTTTAGAGAATTTCCACTTTATTTTATTTCATTTGTTGGTCCCATAAATAGTTGGTAGATGTTCATAAATCCCATTCAGATTATCAGAAGACAGAGTCAAGGTGGATGGGCCAAATTTGCCCTTACTCTGAAGGTTAATGCCCAATATTCACTCTTCAGTCAAGGGACTTACTTACTTACTTAAAAGAGTTGCCACATGTCTGGGGCTAGAGCCAAGTTGGGGTGAATTTCATAGCTGTGTCTGGGCTGGAGCTGGCAGTTGAGTTGATTGGTCTTAGTGGGAAGCCAGCGTGCAGGATGAAGAAAATAACAGCTATTTCTGCCTCTGCAGAGCTCTTTTTTTTAAGTTTAAGAATAATGATTTGAATCATTGCTGGGTTTAGGCGGTCGTGCAGGCACAGCATTTCAACTTTGTTAGGCATTTTGTGTATGAATGCAAATTGGAAATAGCAGCAATACCTTCTCTGATGTAGCATCATGTGTAGCTTCCCAAGAATTTTATAGGAGACACTGCACTTCAACTGTATTTAACAGAAACTGAGGCAGGGAGAGAGAAAATGGCTTTGCCAGGTCCCCAAGGCAGAGAAAACCCCAGCTGCCCTAACCACAGTGAGCTGCATCTGCATAGGGCACTGCAGCTGTAAAGCACAAGGTGACACCTAGATGGTGGTGTCTGATATATTTTTAGCATCCAAATCCGTATCTCTGCCAGAAGGTACTGATGCCAGGCCAGGGCATTGCAGGCAGGGACTTGGCTTGGACCTGCCCAAACAGCAGTTTTGGTCTAAAGCTGCAAACACCCGGCTGGGAGAGGGAGTGAGTTCGTGGGTATGAGTAAAAGGTAAAAAATTGCTTTGTTGTGGAGTGCGTAACAGTGTTACGGAGGAAAAAAAGTGTGAATGTATCTCTATTCGTCCTCATTGCCACTGGTGTCAGAATGAGAACATCACACTGTTTCACAAAAACCTGGGTCACCACTCAGGACACTGCACATCCTGCAGCACAAATGTTTCTTTGAAAGGTGCTGCCGAGTAATTGCCATAAACTTCTATTTATGCGAATATCGTGGAGTGCAGGAAATTAAGGTTAATGCCACCTGGTTTTGTCATCTGACATGACAAGAGTGTTTGTTAGCTTTAAATATGGAGCCTTATGGTCATAAACTCATACAGGAAGTGGATTTTGTTGTGGTTTTATTTTTTTAATAGGCAGCAGTTACTAAAATATGTTGTACAATGATACTACGTGATGATGCACTGATGCTTGGACAAAAAAGTTGCTAAAAAAGATACAGAGGAATGAGTACTCAGTCACTGAGTGAGCGTATCCACTGGCAACAAGTGTCATTAAATGTCCTGGCCTAATTCTGGGAGCTTGGACATGTAACAGGACTGGGAGTTGTTTACCACTTTGCAAGTCTGGGCCTGAGGTGATCACAAGCCCTGGTGTTTTGCTCTGATCCCAGCTCTCAGCATGAAGTGCAGACAGTGTCTGCCTGCCCACTGACGCCTCACTGCCTGTGACTGGTCTGTGTGATAGCTCCTCCTAATTTAGAAATAGGAGGGATGTCAAGGTACCTGTGGAGCAGCTGCACAGCCTTGCTACTGCTAGTAAGCCTTTGTAGAGATGAAGCGCGACTCCGGTCTATTGCTGACTTTCTCACTCCTGCATTTTGATTGTGTGTAAAGTTTTTCTGTGTAAAATCCTCAGCATATAAGAAAATACCACAAAAGGCACTTTGTGAACCTCTGTATGCGTGAGGAGTGCATGTACCAGCCAACGTGTGGATTTCTGTCCTGTCACTCATTCGTCTCAGATGGGAGAGTGAGTCTCCTGACTGATCGATCTTCTGCGTGTCTCAATGCTCATACAAGGATAATCTGTCCTGGTGTGTCAGGAGTCAGCTTCTAGTCTCAAGCAATGTCAGCAGTAATACTTTTGGCTTACTGCCTTCAGGCACTCCGGGCTGGAGTCATTTCCTTCTTGGTGAGCCATCTTTTGACTGCAGACTTCCCTCTTGCTCATTCATACATAGGCATGGTGTCTCTTCAGGTCATTCCCTCACCCTGATGATTGGTGTTTATCCTAAGCTGTCACTAGCACTTAACAAACCAAGCCCCAAAGAGAAGCCTGGTATTACGAAACATCGTCTCCAGGGGATGTCATTTTGGGAATGTACTACTTTTGAGCTAGTGGATGACTGCTCTGCATGGCGTTGGAGTTGCTTCTATAAATGAATGTAGCTCAATGTTTCATTCTGCATTTCCACGGGTGCTGCAGGGTGCCTTAGTAATTTTGAAGGAGTACTTTTAAGCTGCAGCAAGGATTTGTAAACACTCAGACTGTGATGATACGAACAGTGGTGGAGCATTGCTGCTCAGGTGTGAGCAACGTTAGAAGCAGCCAAGTGTTGTAAACTGAAAACCAGCTTGTGCCGGTACAAAACTTCCTTTCGGGGCTAGCCAGACTCTTGCATTTGGCTCTCTGTTGAGCTAGCCAGCTGCAGGGCCCTGTTGTCAGCCCTTCCACCCTTCCACATCACCCTCCCTTTGATGTGGCCCAGCAGAACTTAATCAGATACTGTGAATCTTTTCAACTTCAATCTGAGATTAGGGATATGGGGATTTTTTTAGCTGGAAAGTGAGCAAGTCAAGATAGCTCTGTGCTGGAAATCAGGTAATGAGTGTGCTTTTGCATATGCTGGAGGCCTTGTTTAAAGCAGACGCCCTAGGTAACAACCCATGGTGCATAGTGCAGAGCAGCAACATCATGAGCTGTTCTGCCAGAATTTGGAATTTTGCCCCAAAGACAGGCAGGACTCGGACGACTACGTCAGACCTGCCTCTGCAGCAGTACACAGAGCGGTGAGTTCACGAGGTCTGCGCTTCCCCTGAGAATACGGTGATTAATTTTGGGGGAAAAGAAAAAAGTCCTGTAAAGGTGACAGCCCTGAATAACTGAGTAATCCGACTTTCCCCCTTAGGTGTATGGGGCTACAACAGGATCTCCCACAGATAGTGACCATCCTAAAGAGAAGAGGGAAGGGAAAACTGAAGAAGAATTGGGTTCTGATTCATCCAGCACAGATGACAGTAAAATTGGCTTTTCAATGAATGACAGTCCTACATTTAGCAAGGGTTTGTTTGTAGACAGTAGAGACTATTCTAAGAAAAACCTTCAGAATATGAACACAAGCCTGTCTGGCGTCAGTTTGCCAGAGGATGACAAACGAAGAGGGGCTCAAGATATTTTAGGCTCCCATTTCCCAGCTGTTGAAACTGGAAAACAAAAGCCAAACTACAGACTCTCGCAAGATGCTCACCAGGACCTGCCGCAGGGTGAAGCCTTGCAGAGCACAGGCAGGCATATCCCCATCAGCAGCATTACCCCTCTCATGAGGCATACGCAGGAGGCTCCGGTGCCTCAATCTTCCTCGCGGGAGCATGACGCTTCTGCAGTCAACTACAACCAGGTTGTGCTAAGACCCAGAGTGTGCAGCAGTAACAGTGTGAGCAGCACTGAAGAGGCAGACCCTCCTCCGGCTAGCTCTCCAAGTGAAGACAACCCACCCACAGAAAACATCGCCTTCATGATCACTAAAACAGCTGTCCAGGTCCTGTCGAGCGGGGAAGTCCATGACATAGTCAGCCGGAAAGGCGGAGACGTGCAGACAGTGAACATTGATGCAAGGAAGGATGTGGTGTCGGAGAAGGGTACCCCGGGAAGCACAGACAGTGAAGAGCCAGTGGTGTGCCTGGACAAAAAACCCGTCATCATCATTTTTGATGAACCGATGGATATTAGGTCAGCGTACAAGCGGCTTTCTACGATCTTTGAAGAGTGCGATGAGGAACTGGAGAAAATGATGACAGATGAAAAGATAGAAGAGGAAGAGGAGGAGGAAGAACGTGAAGCACATGAAATCTCTGAGAGCCAGAAGGAAGAGCCACCAGTAGTTAATGACAGAAAAGCAAGCTCAGGGTACTCAGCAGCTCCTGGTCTCAACGAGCAGTATGTGTTGAACCGTCAGTCTTCGTCTGACTCCACAGAAACTCAACCTCCTGCAGAGGAGGAAAGCACAAAGACGAATTTCAACAAATACCGTCACATCTATGGGCTAAGCACAGAAGCCAACTCGGACTCTGCCGACCAGTTCGGAAGCAGGCAGGATTCCAAGAAAAAATTCAAGTTCAAATTCCCCAAAAAGCAGCTGGCTGCTCTAACGCAGGCGATACGGACAGGAACCAAGACTGGGAAGAAGACCTTGCAGGTTGTGGTCTATGAAGAGGAGGAGGAAGACGGGACCCTGAAGCAGCACAAGGAAGCAAAGAGATTTGAAATCACCAGGTCTCAGAGCGATGACAGTGACAAAAGTCCTTCTGGGAAGCAAGAGGGACCCCCGGGAGCTGCAGTGTCCCTGTCTAGGACCGATGAAATTCGCCAGAGCACATACCGAACACTAGACAGCCTTGAGCAGACCATAAAGCAGCTGGAAAACACCATCAGTGAAATGAGTCCAAAATCTATCCCTGAAAACACATTCAGCTCTGAGGGAAGCACTGTCCCCTTCTCTGCCCAGATAGTACCAGAGACCCCACCCCGAGAGCTTGTAGTGCTGGATGAGAGCCTTGCTGGCGTAGACCCCCCTCCGTCAATCCCAGCCACTGCACGTAAGGTACCTTAGTCCAAGAAATCAAACCTCCAGCTGCTTTCTAAAATCTGCAATAATCACCATTAAACACGAGGGTCTTGTGATTTGTTTGCTTCCTTTCAGGTGGCTTGTTTGGGCTCCCCACGAGGTGTCTAACAGCTAATAGACCATTGGTTTGATTGTTTGGTTTTATTTTGTTGTTTTTAATCTTTGCTGCTGGTTGGTGACGGGCAATTGCCGGGGAGCTGGGCCAAATAATCCGCTGTGTGAAATGACAAGCATCACTGACATGAAATCCAGGCTGATCAGTAGCTGAGCGGTTTTCTCCATTTGATTCTGGGAATTAACACCCGCGGTGTGAAGCTCCTGAACTTTCCCTGCATGTAGTACTGTGGCTTTGTTTTTGGCGCATGGTGTGCAGTCTCCTCTTCAAACGCACGGGTACTGATCACTCCTTCTCCTTTGTCTCCCCTCTCTGCCCCTCCGCTTGTTTCCACAGGGCTCCAGTGCTGCCCCCCAGACAAGCCGGATGCCGGTCCCCATGGCCTCAAAAAGTAGGCAAGGAAGCATGGAGAAAGCAGGCAAACAGCACAAGCTGCAGGATCCACGCCAATACAGACAGGTAGTTTTACCCTAAACCCGTGTTTGGATGGACATTTGCTGTTGTTTGTTTATTTAAAACCTCCAGTAACTGACTGAGATTATACCAAATAACGGATGCCTGACTTTCGAGTGAGGTCTAACTGGACGTCCTGGATCCTGGGGGCATGACAGTATCTACTGATCTTTTCACCATGCTTGTGCATGCATGTCTGCAATAAAACACCTGCTGCTCTTTTGTTTTCTCTTTTTTGGTTTGTTTCTGTTTTGTTTTGTTTTTTTAAACTGTGGTATTCATCTGTGATTTTAAGATGTCAACTACCTGTTTACTTTCCCTTTGGTCAATGTGGCGGTTCCTTAGGAGAGCTGGGAATGCTTCTGTTCAGAGAGCCTTTACAGGAGGCTTTGGACACTAACCCGTTGGTGTAATAGGTGGCAGTAGATGCACATTAACTCTCCGGCCGGACATGTCTCTTCACGTTAATAACCCAGAAGCATGGCCAATGTAGTGACCGGTCTATATAACCCAGAGATTGCATCTTCTCACAAATGCTTTGTTGGCTCTTTCTCTCTTTCTATGCACTCCTCATTGGGCACTTTGGGTTTTCTACCAGGTCCAGTCCATGGCAGCAAGACTTAGCTCAGGCCTTGAACTGTTAATTCTTACTCTCTGTAGGGCTATTTTCCCAGGTCCTGTTGGTTTACCATGTTACTGGCTTTCTGACAAACTGTCTCCTGCCATCTTTATTTGCAGGCTAATGGAAGTGCTAAGAAAGCTGGTGGGGACTATAAGGCTACTTCCCCTACCCTACCTGCTTCTAAGATCCCAGCCTTTTCTCCCACTTCTGGGAAAAGCAGCTCAGCACCTGCTTCTAGCGGTGACAGCTCTAACCCTCTTAATCCTCCCACTAAAACCTCCATTCCTTCCTCTAACCTTCTCGGTCCTCAGACAGGTCGCATAACCTACTCTACCTCCCTCATCCCCTCCGTCTCTAATGGCTCCTCCAAGTTCCAGAGCCCCACTTACCCAGGGAAAGGTCACCATCCCTCGTTCTCACTACAGACTCAGAACGGCCGGGCACCCCCTCCTTCCTCCTCTACCTCCCCTCCCTCCTCTACCTCTCTCACTTCCCTCAGCCAAGGTATGAAGAGCATCAGGACAATCCACACACCTAGCTTCACCAGCTACAAGGCACAGAACGGAAATGCCGGCAAGTCCACCCCATCCACGGCCAAGGAGCCATCCTAAAGGCTGAGCACGACCCGCTTGCGAGCTCACCAAGGCTTTTTGTTCAGTTTCAAAGAATCTGCAGCCAAATACTTTAACCAGGGAATGTAACCGTTTTGCTGTATTGCTGGAGGCTTAATACTAATCACGTGCTAAATACTGAATTACTACACTAGGTTAGAGCGGAGATTTTTGGGAAACTCTGTTACCGTTGCAATGATAAAAGAGCGTTTCCTTCCTGTGTAGGCAGCACCTCTTACAGTAAAGTGTGAAGGTGTGTGAGTGAGCTTGACTGCGTGTGCACGGCGGTGTACCGAGCATGGGGAAATGTATGGGTAAACAAATACAGTAAGTTGTTTTGTATAAAGCTATTTTTCATTATGGGGACTAGAAGTGAACAGAGATATACTAAAGTGTGATTATACACAACTGTAAAACTGAAACTAAAATATTTTTCTTTTATTTTGGTGTTATTTAGCTTTGTTACAGATTTCTATTTTTGTCAACAAATGTCATGGTTCCTTTCGAGATCTTTTTGCCAAAACATTTTGATACTATTGTAATGTACATTTGAAAGTAGTATGCTGGACAGTAAAGCTCTAATCAGACACAGAACCAGACTGGTCTGAGCGTGTATGAGGCAACTCAACCTATTGCACTGCCATTCAGATTATATTTAAGAATTTGCCAGCCAAGAAAAAAATAATAATAATAATAAATAGTTTCACACATAGAGGTAGTTGCTGATTACTTTTTTCTTTTTCCTTAGCTAAATCCACCCTTTTCCTTCCGTTTTCTTTTACTGAGACCTGGTAGCCCATTCATGTATTGCATTGTGGATTTTAAAATGTACACTTCAGTACTGTTCTGTATACTGGCAAACTTTTGTACATATCTATAAATATCTATAAATAAATAAATACTGTATGTGTCTGGGCACATAGAGTAGTTTTACCACACCAAAGTTAATTTTTATGCATGCTTAAAAATATATATGGGGAAGGGTTGAAAAAGATGGATATCAAACAAATAGGAAAAGAAACCCCAACAAAGCGAGAAGCTTGCATAGCTCCTGGTTTTGTAAATAAATTTATTTGTATAACACCATAATGTAATATACAGAACTATGATAAGCAAAGATCTTTACAAAAATAAAGGGCTGCATGCTTATATATTTGTATTTTGTCACTAGTAACTTTTATAATGGTCTCAAGTAGCTGTTGAGCTGTTTGCATGAGAGCACTAAACCATCAGGAGAGAAAATTATCTTATTTTTCCCTAGATTAAAGCCATATATAAGTACTAATTTTAAAATGGGCTATGTCGGATTGACAAAAGCCAATTGCTGGAACTCTAGGTTAGAAAACTAGTATAAAAAAACCAACCCAGAAGCACCCAACTCTTTGGCTGTCTGACTGAGGCATCACCTCTTCCGCCTCTAAGCATTTGTCTTATTCCTCCTTGTGAAATGAAGTTTCTTATGAAGGTCGTTTCAGGGCTGATCCCCTCAGCTGGAGCATCCCTTGCAGCAGGAGTAGTTAAAGGACATCATAAACGTTAACTTACCCCTCATAAGCACGACACAGCCTGGTTCCAGCAGGGCCCTGCCAAGTGCCAGCCCCGCTGCTGCCATGCCAGTGATCACAGCCTGACCAGTGCCATATCTTTTTACCAGGTAGGGCTGTTGCATGTCCCCACGCAACAGAGAGCAAATACAGAGAGCACGAGGAGGCTTCTCCTTCCTGGTACACAGCCAGATCCACAGTACAAACTGTATGATGGACACACAAGGTTTTGTTCTTAGACAAAAAGCCAAGGGGTCCAACGCTTACTGGAAACCAGGAACTCGCTAATACCCGACCTCCGCAGCTCCCACAAGAGCTGTTCCCACCAGCCGCTGCACACAGCTGGGCAGGGTCCCTCACAGCAGCCCTTGGCCATGGCCCTGCTCTGCCCCACAGCACTCACACCCGTGGGAGCTGCTCTGGCACTGCTCCCGCTGCCGCTTCTCTCAGCCTCCACAGCACATCCTCCCTTATCTATCTCTGCTGGAATTCCGAGGTGGACGGGAGCTGTATAAATAACCTGCCCAGTCACTGGGTGTGCAGTGGGCAGCAGGGCAGAGCCGTACCCAGCAGGTAATTACTGCTTGTGGTGGTAGACGTGGAGATCTCCATCCGGGAGCGAACAGAACACAACACCCGCTCCTGGCCTGCGCTACGCTGCGTCCTGCACGTCTCAGGCAGCCGCCACGTGTTGTGCACGTCTGTGTCCCAACCGCAGCTCAGACAGTGCTCAACCCGCTGCGGGGCCGCTGGCGCTCAGGCCGTGCCTGCTCCCTCCCCGTCCTGCTGGTACAGCCATGAAGGGCAGGGCTATCATGGGCACGGGCAGCAGAGGGCTGCGCACAGGCTGTAGCTCAGCACCAGGATGCTTCTGAACACTGGGCAGAGTATATAGAAAAATCATCAAGTCCGTAAGTAAATCCCCTGAGCACAGAAGGAAACGGTGCAGTCTGCTGGGTAAAGAACCAAGTTTCTCGCTGCAAACCAGTTATGCAGAGGCAGTTATGGTGGAGGTGACTGCAGCCCGAGTTAGGGACAAAGCCACTGGGTAGCTACCACTGCAACAGAGGGCTCAGCACCAGCAGAACAGCCCATAGCAGGCGAGAGGCCAACTGTGTTCCCCCACAGCCAGCTGCCTTCAAAAAGGGGACGTGCTTAAAGCCATCCTTGCTGTTACGAGGGCACTCCAGCACAGGCAGCTAAAGATCAGACTTTACCAACTCTTGGGCAACTTAAAAGATGATTTCACTGAAGGTGAGACTTCACTGCTCTGAAAACTCAGTAGCGAAGCAGCTCGCTGCTCCCTTTTGAGGTGGGAGGAGTTGGAAGGTGAGTGGGACCATCTTGCTGCCTGTTGTAGTCCAAACCAGCCCGTGACTTTATACCAGGGCAAGTGCCGTCACTGTGTGCGAGCCGGCTGTGATGGGCATGGACTGATGGGGACTGCAGCGAAACACAGCCCCAAGCCCCTGTGCTGGGTAGGCCCCAGGGGCAGGAAGGCAGAGTGGAAGAGGACATACAGAGCAGGGAAGAGGAAGGATGTGCAGGACATTTCCGCCTAGAAATGTACAGTACGAAAATCCAACTGATCTCCACTAAGAGGCGGCTCTTCCTGCGCACTTGAACCCTCACAGGTTTGGTAACAGATGATGAAGGCAGAGTCTCACAGTCTCATGACTGTACTCACAAAACTTCAGTGGTGGCAGGTCTCTTCCCAGTCATTCCCCCCCCCCAGCCACACAACAGCCTACACCCTCCTTTCCTCAGGCTGGCACAATGAATTCCTGAATTACTGTCTACATGAGGATGGTGCAATGACCCGGCTCTCTGTAGCGGGTGAGACCGCATTTCAAACTCTTTTTGTGCTGCCTGGACAAGGTGGAGAGAGGTTCTCACAGATGCTCTGGCCAGGATGAAACCCTTACGTGCAGCTCAGCAAAGGATCTTCCTTCAGCTCTGCAACAGCGCGAATGAAGTTAAGAAGCCGTCTGGACTGTGGCCACGTATTAATTCCACATTATCAGTGCTGTGAGCAATACTAGTAGGGACTATAACAAGCCCTTTAGAGTCGTAAAAAGCAGTTGTACAGTACCTTCCAGCTACCAGATCACAGAACAGGGATTTCAAATTACACCGCTGACACCCACAGAAACAGGAATGGCTGTTTAGAACCATTTAAAAAAATCAAAATAGCATTGCTCCCACCACAGTTCATCCTTTCATTATTTCCCCATTGCATCTCAG